GTTGCCAAGTCTATTAGAGCATATTTCTATCAAGATTTGATTTCAATATCACTTATTGATTTTAAAAACAATAACATTTATCAAACGTCCTTTCTAGACATTCTTAACTTAGACCAAAAGAAAGAGATATAATTTTTGATTAATAAAGAATGATTTTCTTCAAGCCAATGCATTTTCATCTTTAAGTAATGAAATCAACATTGACTATTGATTCAACTTTTTTCAAATAAGTTCAATTAAGTATGTCCTTTCATCTTCTTATTAATGATATTAAAAACAATTCTTCTAAGTTTTATGATACTTCTAATTTTGAATTTAAGAATAATTTATTTTATTTTGAGAGATAATTATACATTTTAGAAAGTAAAATATAATTATGTATTCTTTAAGCTTATCACAATTTTCTAACAACTAGACATTTTGGATACAATAAGACTTTGAAGCTAATATCTAGAGATTTTTGGTGGCCTTAAATGTAGAAGGCAATTAAAGACTTTATACAATCATATAATATTTTTTCAAGATCAAAAACTTCTCATCATTGATCTTATAGACTTCTCCAACCATTGCCTATACTAGAACAACTATGATCTTTTATTTCTATAAAAAAATTTATAGATATTTTAAGTTCAAATTTATATATCTCTGTATTTATGATTGTAGATTTCTTTAAAAAAATAACATATTTTATACTATGTACAAAATCTATTTCAGGTGAAGAAATAGCTAAGCTTTTCTTTGATAATATCTATTGTTATCATGGATTGACAAAAGATATTATATCAAATAGAGGGATACAATTTGTATCAAGATTTTAAAAAATTCTTCTTAAGATATTAAAAGTGGATATAAAATTATCTTCAAATTTTTATCATCAAATTGATAAGCAAACAAAATGGATGAATCAAGTTTTGAAGTAGTATTTGAGATATACTATCAACTCTCATCAAGATAACTGGATAGATCTTTTGTTATTAGTAGAGTTTGCATATAATAATTTAGTATATTCTTTTATTCAATAATTTTTTTTTTTATTTTATTTTATTTTTTCAATTATGGTTATCATCCATTATTTGATATTTTTGACTTTTTAAAATTTAATAGTCTTATTACAAAAGATTTGGTAAAATATTTGTAAGAATTACATGCAATAATAAAAGTGCGATTCAAGGAAGCTCAAGAATAATAATAGATCAATGCAGATGCCTATTATGAGGAACAACCATAATTTAAAGCAAGTGACAAAGATGATTATTTTTTGCAATATTAAGACTGCTTATTATTGTGATAAGTTTGACTATGGTAGATTTTAATCTTTTTTTATTTGAGAATAAGTCAATTTTGTTGTTTATCAATTATATCTATGGAAGTCTATGAAAATCTATCTAATATTCTACATATCTCTTCTTGAGCTATATAAAACAGTGGATATCTTGAAAAGAAGACAAATGCTACCTTCTCCTATAGAAGTTGATAATTATCAAGAATTTGAGGTAGAAGGAATTTTAGATTCAAGGCAACTCCAAAATAGATTGGAATATCTTGTTCATTGGCACAAATATGATATTAGTGAATACACATAGAAGCTAAAAAAAAATCTTGTAAATGCAATAAAGAAGATTGAAGCTTTTCATTGACAACATCTATCAAATTCAAAATAAAAAATAACAAGATCCATGAAAGATGATGATCACTGTCATGTCATAACATGATTATATAGTGAAAAATAAAAATATGGATATTATTATTGAAGAGCCTAGTAAAAAGATGTAGTAGAAAAATAAGAATAAATAATAAAAAGATAGTAAAAGATTTAGTCTTAATGCTACTTTTCATAGAAGGAACTTCTATTTTCTTTATAGAAGCATAAATGAACCAAATCAAAATAAATAAGATAAAAAATTAATATAAGCATGTTTAAGAAAGAATTAACAATAGTGTAAAGGAAAAATTATCTCAAATTATTAAATATTGATATCCGGAGAAGATTGGTTATCAACTTAGGTCAAAATCAGATTCTGAAGTAAAAAACTATATACCTATGGCTACTCTAAGGCTCTTTTGCAAATTAAAGAGTGTTATTTGAGAGAAGACTTTATAGAATATTTTTAAGCTTTGATTTTGAGTGATATGAGTTTTAAATAACTTTATAAAAGCTTAGAAAAATTAAGGTTGTTTTGAATGACTCTGGATTTTGTGAAATAAAACAAGATTTATAATTTGAAAAATTTCATAAATTTTGTAGTAGATCTATAAATAAATTTTTTTGAATTTATATATATAGTTGTATTAAAAATATACTATAAATTTAAATTTAATCAGATAGTTGGATTGAAGGCTATTGAAATTCAAGTTGATTAGGATCTTAGAAATTGGATTTTTATATTTAATAAGATTATCTTAGATTTATTGAAATTTTCTTATTAAATTGAGGTATTTTTTTACCACAAATAATAATTAACTTTACTTCCAATACTTGTGTGAAATTTGAGAGAAAGTTAATGGTTCAATTAGGAGTTATTGCTACTAAAAGATTAACATTAAGATCAAAGATAGAGGCCGACTGATACTTGAGTGGATTATGATATTTTTCTCCCATTTCATAAGTTTGATTATTTTCAAAATTATTGTGTTTATTTTTTACTAAAGAATTGAGAGGTGTGTAAAATTTTAAGTAAGATCAATAATTTAATCAATAAATATTGAGGTTCTAAAATTGCTCTAGGATTGGTTTAAATTAAGTAAGTTTTTATTAGGATTTATTAGGAGGTGATTAAGATTTGGTCTAAGATTTAGGATTTATTTAAAATTTCTTTAGGATTTCTTTTAGATTTCTTTTAGATTTCTTTAGGATTTTATTAAAGTTTGATTAAATTTTCATTAGAGTTTCATTAGGATCCTTTATGGTTTCTTTAGGATTTTTTAAGGATTTCTTAAAGGTTCCTATTGGATTTCCTTAAGGTTCTTTTTGGATTTCTTTTGAATTTTTTTAGAATTTCTTTATGATTTCTTTAGAAGTTCTTTAGGATTTCTTTGTGTTTCTTTTATAATTTTCATGAAAATTTAATTGAACTTAATCAGTGTTTGATTATATTTATTAAGCTTTAATTATAATTTATATATGATTCTATTAGAATTGTTAGGACTTGTTACAATTTTCTTTTTCCTTCCACAATCATATATCCAATACATTTTCAAGCAAGTTTTCTTATAATACAATATTGTCTCTTGTGGAACTTATCTTTAAAAAGAAAGTAGGGAGAAAGAGAGAGAAAAAAAGAAAAACAGAAAGCGGTAATATCAAGAAATACGTATTTATTCCAATAATTATCTATATGATTAGGTAGAAGTAGGAAAAAGTAGATTAATTTCATAATATCTTCTAGAAAAGCTTATTAGAAGCTTCATAGATGTGGTTTTGACTTTATACATATTTGTAGTTGATTATTAAGTTAGAAACTTGATCAACAAGTTAACTATATATCATACATATTGGTAGTTTGTAGAATAAGTTAACTATGTGGTGCACATATAGAAAACTTGTCTCGGAAGTTAAAATACATATCTTATAAAGTCAACACGTATTGGAAGTCCTATAGAACATTGTCACATAGCTCCAGATTAGATAGTATATAGGGAAGTAAGAGTGAAGCCTTCTTCATTTTTGTCAATGCCTTTCTAATCCTTAGACTTGTTTTAAGACTTTCTAATATTCTTTTCTTTAGTAATATCTATTTTAATTTAATATTATACCATCTTCAAGTGATTTTTAATCTTTTCAAGTAATACAAGAGTGTATTGATCTTTTAGTTCTTTTAGATTCATGTACTTCATATAATATCAATAAATAAACCATATGCCATAGATTTTTTCTTCTTCAATATATCAACCAAACTCATGTCAATTAGTTTTGTTACTAAATACAAAGTTTTATTTCTCCCTTCTATAGACGAACTCCTATTAATTTTATTGATATTCACTTTTGCAACAAAAAAATATTTTAGAAGATTGAGATATCTCAAATTTGCTAAGATACCAACTTCAATAGATAACTTCAAAACTACCAACTATTTTTATTGTAGTACTTAACATTCCAAACTACTTTGATTTATAAACAATTCTACTTATACCTTTGCCTATGCAACCATTAATTTTAAAACTTTCAATGTTGTTTGAATGTTCTTAAACAACCAATCTTCTACCCTCAATACAACCCAAATCTTTCCATCTTTGTAATATATATTTAGCAAATCTTTATTCTTCAAAATAAGCATTTTGGCTTCCATCAATCAACTTCTCATAGAAACTTATATCATCTCCTTTAACTTTATCATACATATCAACATTACACATTATTCATACAATGCCTTCAAATTCTTTCAAATAGTGCATTTTTAACACATCACTTATTGCATTGCAATAAAGAATCAAATCTAAAAGAATTTTTCTAAAACTTTCTTTGTTTTTTATTTGAAAGATAGTTACTTCACACCATTTTTTATTTCTACAACTTTCTAACAATAAGTAGATTTTTTTAACCACAACATGCAACTCAACAAAAATAAGCCTTTTGCTTTTTAATATTATCATATGTCAATAACTTATCAAATATTTTCTTCACTTAGAGAAGTTGTCTGTACAAACTTATACATTGATTTCTATTCAACATGCATCTTGTATGTTCATTGGTTCTTTTCAGGATTTTGCACATCATTGACTATGTATAGTACTTGACATATTTGAAAATGAACATTTGGATCTAACCAAAATATGCATTGTTGTAAGTTGCAGAAGAGTAATCTGCACACTTGGTTTAGAAGCACTGATGTGCTTGAATTTGCTTTGCTAGTCATAGCTTTAGCATTGACATTGTGCAGCAAGTAACCGAAGTAATGCTAGTTTGGTCTAGAGCAAAATAGTACGTGTTGACTGAAATTTTTCAAGGTTGTGTTGATAATTGCTAATATTCTCAGAGCATTCGATTGACAGTGTCAGGATGGTAGGTTGCAAAGAGGGAGACAAAAGTTCCTTCCCTGCACAATCTTTGACGGCAAAGAAAGAAATCTGATTTCGTCGAAGGGCTCACCCATTTGAAAATATCATAAGCATCCTAATAATCGCAATGATCTCAAGGGCTCACCCATTTGGAAGAGCAGTATGAGCATCCAACGCACACACTTACTAGTTAATGAAGCTTGCTATTTATTCTTCACACAAGTACCCTGCACTGGGACTTGACACTCTAATGATCAAAGACCTACACTAAAGAGCTACATCAAATGAATCTGTATGTAAACCACAGTAAGGAGACCCACAGCAAGGTGGTGAGACAAGCCCTGTGTGCCAGAGTAGCACACAAAACATGAACCAATCATCCTCAAAAACAACGACAAAAACCTTGCCAATCGTCAGAAGCATGCGCTTGTTTTGCACTGAAAAGTCATGTCGCTCAGAATCTAGATCCAGCTTGTCGGTAGAGAGCAACTCACTGCTGTGTGCTTCGTTTGTTTGAAGACTGGTGCAGGAATCTAGCCAGTTTATAAAAGCTGCAGGGTCATTTCTCACCAGTCAGTGCATGCCGACGTCTTACATGGGCTATTTGTGACTTCGTCTGTGGAAGCGGTGGTGAGGCGATGCAGGGTTGAGAGTACCAAATGCTAGAACATCCCATGCGTTGTGTATTTAGCTGGATCTCTGCTTGCGGTTACGGGACTGGTTCGTTCCAAAGAACCGAAAGAATCCGCTGTTTCGCTTGGAGGCTTTTGGATTTGCACCAACTTGTGTTGGAGTGGGAGCAGGTTTGGGGTTCGCACTAACTGATGATGGAGTGGGAGCAGCTTTTGAGCTTGCACTAACTAGTGTTGGAGTGGAGTTAGCTTTTGGGCTTGGAGAAACTGGTGATGGAGTAGGAGCAGCTTTTGGGCTTGGGTCCCCCCCGGATGGTGATAATTTTTTGTTGGAATCTTTTATAGCTAACGGTGCAACCGTCATAAAAGAGTCGATACTACGACTGAGATTCGTTACATTTCTTTCATGTGGCTGTGCGGGGCTAGAGGATCTTCCAACTGTTAATGCGCGTGGTGAGTCCAAGTCAAAGGAATCATCATCTGGTACCACGGAACTTCTAGAGCCACTGAATCGTATTAAACCACGCTGGTTAGCGACTTCCAGAGGTTCCTACAAACATGCACAGAATGAGTAAGTACACACTTGCAGATATGTTTGTAAGCAGTAACGCAACTCTCACTAGAAACCGGAACTCTTTCTTCACATTCAGTAGCAGCAGCAGCAGCACGAGTAAGCTCTTCCGTTTCCGAAGTAGAAAACTAGCGACAAACAGTATACTATTTGTGTTTCATTGGATTACAATGTTTCTTACGGGTTAGATTTTCAAGAAGAAACCTGAACATTTTTGAAAGCGTATCATGGCTGTTCAACTAGGAAATGTGCATTCCCTGTGGAAAGCTACTTCCAGGTGCAATACCACTACGGATGCATTTGAAAGATGAAAATTATAGGTTGATTAAAGAAAAGGATGCAGAGTAATACCTGCGTGCTGAATGGTTTACTCTGCACATTCCACGAAGTTCGTGGACCTGAATCGACATCGTTGTCGTTCCATGCAAAGCCCCAAGAGGAGCCAATTCCACTAAAGGCATCGGGAGCGATAGAGCCTCGCTCTGTTCCCGGACTGAAGATAACAAGCACACATTCTTAAAAAATAGAAAATACGTGGAATACCACAACGTGGTCAGTGTGACTGCAAAACAATTTCAAACAGGGAAGAGAATATTGGAGGGGAAATATCAGCCGAATATCACACAAACCTGCTTGTGGGAGGGCTGGATGCTGGAGAACCATTGGATACACTTGATTCAAACTCCTGCTCTTCTGTTGCATTTGCACTTCTGCACTTGCAGGGTTATTCACATAAGACCACCGTGTTTATAAGTGGATGGAGTCATGATAGAGTGAAATTTTTATAATCTAATCAGAATCGAATATATTAATATGCCATACTTGAAAGAAAATTTCATCTCCAATACTAGCAGAACGTGTGATCACAAAGACATACTGTTCCAGTTGATTTATAAGTGGTTAAGCCTACTCCCCATTTGGATCACACAGTCGTCTCAAAGTCAATCTCTTGCTGTGACTTGATAGCATTTTGCGAAGGATTTCATACCTTTCAGAAGGATTGGTTGTTGAGACCGAAAAAGTTGGCCGGTTTCGACGAATTTCTAAGTCGGAAGAAGGCTTAAATAACAAGACATCATCGCTGAAGCTCACTACCTTCCTTGCTGGAGTTTCATTACGAAGTGGAGAGAGCATATCTTTGGCTGATTCAGGTGGCAGTGCAGTTTCCTTTCCTGCACTGTTATTGTTGTTAGGGACATGATAATAGTCATTCTCAACTGATTTCTCTGGCTTATTACCCCAACTGGCAGCAGCGCATGGCTTCTCTACGGAAGGCACCTCATTCGTCAGATTTTTGACCACAGAAAACTCTGCCAGGAATTTACTTATTAGTCCAGGGAAAATATATGTATCGATTGCCCAATTACAGTGGTTTCAATGGACATCTCCTAAGTCTTGATCAATGTGATTACTATTGGGGCTTGGACACCTAGCAACCCAGCTCTTACTTTCCTGAAGCACACGAAGACCATAAAAAACAAGCAAGAAGAAATAAAACCTACACAACATACTCACAAACGAGCTTCACTTCATCATTATAAGAGCAGACCAACCTGGATCCTCCAGTTCACCCCATTCGCTCCACTCAGCAGCTTTCTCTTGAAGGTTTTGGGTCCAGCCTGAATAACAGTCCACGGATATAACATAAAAAAGGATACTTTTTTTGCCTCTGTTGGTGAAAAGAATACTTCATGTATGACAGAGATAAGAAGCATACACATTGCACGAATCCACAACATTTGGGCACTTACCAAAAGGCATCTCCATTGGAATGCTCTCTCTAACTTTCACACCAAGACGTTGACAACGACCACGAAGTGCTATCTTTAATTTATCCAGGTCTGTTGCAAGGTGATCTGCTCTTTTCTGTAATATGTGTTCAAATGACGTCCAAGTTAGCATGTTCACAAGGCTACTTCTCATCTGTCAGAACACACTGAACAAGACCATGACGGACCCATTCTCTACTCTCACTCTCAGCCCCAAGCTTGACAAATAAACTTTTACCGAGTAATGCTTCAAACCCTTTACTTCAAATGCACTTATTTACCTTCAATATAGCCAGAAGCTAAAAGGAGTCAGAGGAAAAGAAGTAAAAAAAACAATTCATCCCAAGATCCCTACTATATTAATTTTCAGAGCTTTTAAGTTCACATATGCACACCTTAGCGAACCGAAATGGACTACTGGCTGTAGTTCGAACAAGCTCTACAGTTATCAAATATAGAAGGTACCTGAAGAAGGGCGTTAGGATCACCACCATTGTCCATCTTGAAAAGTGCATCTAGAAGCTCCAATTTTTTCTCCTGAAAGAGCAAACAAATGTAGGACTGAGTGGGATTCATAATGCACTAACTTTATTTCAGAACAAAATGTGGTGCCAAAACTCCGCCCATCAAAATCCATGAAAGGCTTCTCTAATAATCATCTCTATGGATTTAGATTGATAGAACCAGAAGTACCTGAGTTTCTCGAAGAGCTGAATTCTGAACAGCTAACTGGGCATTCAATTCTGCTGCAGCTTTAAACTTCTCATCGTATTTCTTTGCCAATGACTCCACCTAAACCATGCCGATGCTTTGAGTTGCATACACGATATATCACCTTAAGTCATTTTGGGTTGTGATCATCCCACAAAACTAAGCTAAGATCTACTTCTATAATACGTGTGATTCATCAAAGAGAAGACATTGAATGTTGAATTCCGCTACCATGACTATACGCATCACAGTGGTAGAATACATACTCTAAACCAGAACATTTTATTACGTTACTGATTGAAAGCAGGTAAAAAACGCCAGAGTAGTAGTTTCAAAAGCTTGAATCAAACAAACCTCTCGCTTGCCTGCAGCAGTTCTCTCAGTTGTCTCTGTGATCTTATTGTCACATTTAGTTTTGAACAGAACCTGGCAAGGTCAACCAGATAATTCCAACGTAAAACACCTGATGGGAAGAGACTTCTACGCCCAACGATGTCAGGAGTTTAAGTTGTTTGTAAAGCACATCATAGTGGATTTGACACAGTTGGTTTAACATTTCCAAACACCCTCATACATTATAACATGCAACAATATAGCACGAACAAAAATTTGAATGAGAATAATGAGAGGCTTACGACTTCTTGGAGCTTGGTTCGGTAGTACGCTGCCTTCTGTCTTGGCTCCATCAGCTTCGTTTCCACCCTCACCTATGCATACACTAAGATTATAACGAGGAAAGCACCAGAGTTTTTTGTGTTCCTAAAACCTGTAATGTGCACAAAACCGCAATACAACCCATAGCCTATCACGTGTCGACATATGCATAGACTAAATAGCAGATCATCTTGACAGCGTGAAGGTGTCGTGTAAACTTCTACAACATACTTCATTCTGAGATATTTCCAGTCCCCTTCGAATGGCACTTGGAGCTTCTTTAGCAGGCTGCCTTTTCCCATTTGAATCGTTGAATTTCCAGAAAGAATCCATAAGGGAATCAACATTAGTTCCTCCGCTTGGAGTTAAATTTTGGAGACGAGTTTGTGCTTCTCGAGTGGTCAATAACGTAGCACGTTTCGGTGCTGGCGTATATCCTGGACCCACTTGCGGCGTGTTCTCTGGTAACAAGAAAAACATTTCTGAGGAAGGCAAGGCCAGGAAAACACCGCCTGCGAAGACGCAATTTCAAAAACTGATGCCTATAAATACGAACCACACATGAGACACCCTATTAACAAGATTCTCATGAATCGACAAGTAATATTAGTTTCTAAGTGGACACACGATGTAAAAGTTTTGGAAGTGTTGGCGTTCATTGTAGAATTCTGTCAAGCAGGCACAACCAAAATCATGACCAATTTCGAAGATATATCAACAACACTCTCTCCAGAGGCCATATTCACGGAGTGTGACAACTCAGCATAACAGAATAACCTCGGTTCTGCCAATTAGCACAACTATAGCCAGGACGAGGAGTTGAAGACATCTGCTCATCAAGAGTAGGCGGATCATCAAGGTGGATGCCCGGTGGAAGCTTGCTAGGAAGAGATCGGCCTTCCCTAAAACGCTCCATAAGATACAGCGCTGTACAAAACTCGCGTACCGACATCATGCTATCACCATCTTGATCGGAAAGACTCCAGACCTGCTTCAGAATATCTGATATTACAAACCGAACATTCATTTTCAGCTCAGCGGTGATTTCATTTGTGGTAAAGTAAGGAACCGTTTATGACCCCACAGAAAAAAAAGAAAAAGAAAATGCCAGATAAATAAGTTAGTGCACCGTGTGCAGCGTTCAACGAACTGACAACTCACACAGTCTGCTGAAGAATTATGAACTGGCAAAAAAAACAGTGGATTAACTTAAGCATAAGCAAGGTGCTGACGACTGCAAACATCTACAACAACCAACGAACAAAACCAGTGAGATCGTTCCAACACACTTCTCGGTTGTTGCCAGCTGAGGAAAAGTGCGCGAGCTTGCTCTCCGGTGATCTTCCCATCGCGATCAGTGTCCACCTTGCTGAACACACGCGTGTATCGCTGAACGTCACTTTGATTCATCCGAGGCCAAGGAGGAGTCACCGCTGGTTCATTTAGGGGTCTGGTACCGTATACAGGACCCATCAGCGGGGTCTGTGAAAAACGAGTAGAATTAGCGACTAAGCTGGTTGAAGAGGAAAGTGTTGTGGGTGCAAGCGCCACAGGATCAACAGAGCTTCTCCTGAAATGACAAAAACGCGATGTTGCGGTTTAAGTTGAAAAAATTGTTTTAAGAGCGTAGGAACTTCCTAAAAATTGGAACTAGTGCTGAAAGGTTGCATGACTTCGTGGCGTTGTATGTACGATGAGCTCTCCAAAGTGTTTCAAGTGACCACAGTATTCTTCAAACGACATGAATCCTTCAAGGATTGGACATCAAGTCCTAATTCTTGCAAATAGATAGAAGTTTTAAATTCGCGAACCGGGACGTTACTCCGAAGCCTTGTGCTTCTGAAGTAGACTTCGCCTTTATCGAATAGCTACCAGCAGCTAGACTTGTCGATGCTGGCGTCCCATATAGATCCCCGATACTTGTAGACTCCGGTCCAGTCTTGAGACCTCCAGCTCCCCCTATTTTAATTCATTTAGACACACATTTGTTCAGATTTAGACACTAGAATATTTAGGTGAATAGAACGAATTTCAGGGATAAGATATACATAATTAAGAAGGTGTTTTACAGAAATCGCGAAGAGGAAATGAAGAGGGGAAGCAGCACCCGAATTCAACAACCGCAAAGAAGCAAATGTATGGCTGTTCATGTATGTTCAAAACACCTCGTCACGCATGCAGTTAAGAAAGCAGTGATACCACACCAAACTGTAGATAGTGTGGAGAAGGTAGATACGGACAAATTTGCACTGGAAAAGCAGCCATATTTGTAATGAGGAAAATGATGGTCGCAAATCAGACCTGCTTGGAAAGCAGACAAGCTCGTTGAGCTCGGCAAAGAACCTCCTGTCGATAGTAGGGCGCTTGAAGTATTAGGTCCTGGAAACCTTGAATCTGCAGCAGATTGCAACCCCGAACCAGCTGAACCAATGACGCTGGAAAACTGTGCACCAGATAGATGCGAGTAAGTACCCATCAAACCTCCTAAGGTCGGCCTGGTCTCCGTCATCCCTTGTCCAGTCGAAGGAAAACTAGGCCTGGATTGCTGTGGTAGTGACGGTGTCCCCTGAGATATATTACCAACGGAAGAGTAACACCCTTGTGGTTTAGACATTGCTGGGACACCACCGCGAAGTGAAGCAAACTGTGGGGTGTCACTATACCCACCCCATGTGCTAAGCTGATAAGCTTGATCATTTTGTGCTGGAAACTGCTGCGCATAACTCCCCTGTGAAGCAACTGATGGAGCCCGAGCTGGAGGAGATGGTGGAGTCGGTGTATTAATCCGTGGAGGAGGAATGTGTGAACTTGTCGGACCGTTCAAAGCTCCATTCACCAACTCTGGTGTAAGGTCTCTCCCCGTTTGTGCTATTGTCACCAGTTTCAATGCGTTGTTGAACTCGTGCCGTGACAGAAAGCCTGTGTGACTTCGATCCGAAAATTGCCAGACCTGGAAGTTCATGACAGTTTCAGAGCTTCAGGTTAAAGATGGGAGACCAACCTTGCACATTTCATGAATGTCAGTCTTCGTGGACACATGCAAATCTTATCTTCGTAGATCTTAGAAGGCATGCAGCCAACAATCCTCAGTAAGTAAATCCAACCATTGCTTTAGGCGATTCTGTGAACAAGCCGTGTGTACAGAACTCCGAAAGTATTAGGAGCGCCAACAACGAAGACATGGTTTCGGAATAGCTTAATAGCCGCTTGACATATTCTTTTTAAACTTATAATTCCTGTTAACAAACGGTCTATAGCCCGGAGCTCATCCCAGATATATGCCCCCTATATCAATGACAGGACTAAAATAAAAACTACTTGCAGTGAAGTTGAGAATTGTGTTTCACTGCGGCTTAAACCCAACTCGTTTGTGCGATCTAGATGAGGGCCTTGCTCAACGCATGTTACTAAAACTTCATTCGATCTAATTTGAAAGAAAAAATCCAGATTTGTGGAAATTTATTCCATGTTATTAGTTGGTGCCACAGTGTGAGTCGCACATGTTTCATCTCCGGCCTCCTTCCTAAGTACCTTCAGATTGAAGGTCGTGCGTTGGCGGAAGACACACTCAACGTCATTTGAGAAGAATTCATATCAAACTTCTCACAAGTCGTGGTCTTCAGGTTCATTACCTCTGAGGGCTAAACTTGATAGAGTGATGACGACGAGTTCCTTACACATTTCATTAGAGTTTCGACCATTCTTCCCAATTTACAAATGAGGTGGCTTAAGGCATTTCAAGCACATCTGCATAAATCAGAAAGGATAATTGAAGAAAAAATGAACAGCGCAAACCTTTGCGAGAGTGGCTTGCGGTAGCCCAGAGCCCTGAAAAAACCCAACTGCTTCACTCCCACTGATACGACCATCGCGATCTAGATCCGCCATTCGGAAAAACGAGTCAAAGACCGCTGCATTCGCCATGCTTCCTGCTTTTTAATTCCAGAATTTCTTCACTCAAAGGAGATGAATCAACACAAGTGTAAGGATTTCACCCGATAGCCGGAACTAAATGCGACAATGCATTCTCACTCTAGAGCTATTGCACAAGCTAAAAACTACTTGTAGCACCAAATTGGCTCTACAACTCTATGTACGGCATTCACATGTTTCGACCTGCTGGCAGAGCCGTGAACCGCTTCAATACCCTGGTAGAAAAACCTTCATCCTAGCAGAATAGTGATAAATAAAACCTCCGAACATTAATCATGTAGACATCACCATGTCCTGGCTATTGCAATCCGAAAATCAGTGAACAAATCTTAACTTCACCCGGGCAGCAATATATCCATCGGAGCAGGATGAGACTTTCCTCCTCCACATCTGCTACTCTCATATCCTTTTAGAGTCGCGAAGTTCACTCTAGCCTCGACCAAGCACCGAAACCGCGATCCAAACGTAGCACCATAACCAAAGCAAGCCAACTCACTTCACGAAATCGAGAATCCTCGGCACCGGAGCTGATGTTGGGACTTAAAATTCAATTCTATATAGCTGCAGTTGAAAACTAGCAGCTGTGAAGTGGCGATTCATGGGTTTCGAAGGAGACCACAGTCTAGAGCTAAAACAAATTGCCATAGTCGTATGAATCTCTCTTGAAATAATGGAGCTCTGCAAGGTTTGAAAGGGCTGGACATGCGACATTGATCTCTATGGAATGAAGTGACGTGAGCTGGGTTTGGAGTGTATCGGTTGCAAGGCGCAGCGGGGATGAGTATCGATATGTTGTTGACTCCGTCTGCTTACTCTTCTTTGAGAAATGTTCTTCACTTGCGACTGCTTTACATAACGAGATACTAGTCAAGAATTTTAATCGGATTTAGATTCAGAAACAAGAAAAGAAAAAAGAGAATCAGTTGTGTGATCACTGACAAAAACAGCCACTCAACAATAGATTGAAGGGATAGATGACAGAACAATATACTTGCTTTTATGACAACAAGCATTGTAGATGTTTCTTACACCAGAGACCACATAAAAACTGCTCACAAAAATGGTAGTTCAACATGTTAGCTAACAGTCAAATTCTTCAGTCATTAGATTTTTTTTTTTTTTTTTTTTTTTTTAGTTAAGCCGTTCATTCCTCTCAAGAATACCTACGTCTAAGACTATTTCTTTATAATAATGAAAAAAACACTAATAATAAATAATCTCTTTTTTCCTAGTCTGCGACTATTAATACTCGCTTTTGAATAATTCTTCTCTGCTTGTCAAAAGAAATCACTTTTGATCCCATCGGAGAATATCACGCCCAGTATGCAACAAGTTATTGCTGACCCGTACAGACCTTGACCCATCTTTGTCACCAACTTGTAGCTGTTCATATGACAATGCTCACGTTGAAGGAAGCAACAGAAAGTCGGTGTGGAGAATGGTTTCCGAGTGATTGCAAACCAACTGCGAGTTTCCAGAATCTGATCCCCCGCACTAGTTTACAACGCAGTGAACTTACACTCCAAGAGCAAGTGAATAATACTTGAAGGCGTACATATTGTGCACACCTTCGCCCTGGGGTTGAAATACGTGTGATGCGTGGTTCTCAAAAAACCTTGACCTCTTCAACAGAGTTTGATACTTCATCACATCAAGAAGTTGAGAAAGTCTTGAGAGCGCTGGTTTCTGGTGCTCTGCCACCAGAGCCTTGTTGTATCACCGTCCCACGGTGCTTTCGAGCACCTGTTCAAGGATGTGAAGTGAAGAGACGAGTCCTTTTGAATACGCCGTCCTTGGAACTCGCGAGAGAGGAAGAATGTTAAACCACGTTTTGAGAGGCGGAGGGACACGATCGGTCAAAAGATGGGTCCAGAGCTACCCCCCGAGGTTCCTGATTTCCTGTTTTTGTTTTTGTTTTGTTTTTGTTTGCACCAGGACGGAGACATCCGGGCAATTGAAGGTGGAAGTGGTAGTCAAATCCCAATGCTGCCTCAGCAATCAATAATTGAACAAAAACTAGAAAGACTTGCGCAGTTGTTGAGCTGGGGATTTTCTCTTCACATGGTAGCTGAAGAAATTTTCCACAACATGAAGTGTCTCTGATTGAAACAAGTTTTTGATATCTTCGCTTTTACTGCCTTGTAACCCATCTTTTCATCACAATTACACATTACTGGGGCTAATGTTTATTACTTAATTCTTGGTAATTACTGTGTGCAAACAATCGCAATTCAGTCTTCTGATGATGAGTTTCAAATCTAATAGAAATCTTTAAAAATTAAGAAATCAAATATAAAGTCGCCTTCACAGAGAGCAGCATTGCAAAAGCTTGCAAGCCAACACACAACGCCCACCTTAACGAATAAATGACAACTTTCAACTAAAGCTTCACATATGGTGATGACAAACGAGAAAAAGAAGAAGCACCCGTCTCGGATCCTCACACTAAGAGAATGAAGCGCAGGTGTTGCACTCCAGAAGACTGATATGGAAAGCTCATAATTCAGAATGGGAAGATCTAGTACCTCGATGGTGGGCACTAGGAACAACAGACACACACCAACCATGACAACATCCACTGCACAGTTTGTGGACGATAACCGTATTACTCACCTCTGCTCCACATTTCACCAGTTTCCCTTCCTAAGATAAGTCTCGCGAGAGAGGGTCCACTTGCAGATACTTGCATCCACTCACCCTCTGAAACCACAACAGAGATCCATCACTTCGCTGCAGTTTTGTGACGTTCTTTCGAGTTGTAAAACAAAGCATGTGAGCGACCTTCATTGAAAACCCTCTTACTGCGGCTGTTGACATAAGAAGAAACGACAGTTTTAGAGCCTGAGTGCAAGCACAGTGGAATGAAAGTAATAAAATAAAATAAACATTTTATGCAAAGATTATGATTCTAAGTCAGATATATAACTACATATACACACCAATTGCAAACTATAAGTAGCAATGGTTTTTTTTAATCTTTTATTTATAATTATGAAACCTTAATTGGAACAAAACTTTTAGAATAAAACAATTCTTATTATACTTTTATAAAATTAATAATAAATTCTTATTATAGATTTTAAATTGGTATTGTGTTGAAATTAAAAAAATACATATAAAAATTACAAAATAATTTCAAAAAGTACGAGGTAATTGAACATATTAAGACTAACAGAACATCTAAAAAAATTTAATATTATGTTGATTATGAAAAAATAAAAAATTACAAATACAATTTAAGATTCCAATCATAAATATTTTAACCAAAAATCTTTTAAAATCTAGAATATATTTCAAAAAATATTTTTTTAATATCTATTTAAAGATTTGAAGTAAAATGTGGTAACTTTACTGCAATATCAAGGTCAATTATTATCAAAGACCTAAACAAATTTTAACCTTAAAATATATCTACTAACATATATATATATATATATATATATATACATACATATATATATTTATTTAATTAATTAATAAATTATATATTTATTATTTATAATATTTATTACAACAAATAGAAAGTTAATAAAATAAAAATTGCTAGATTTTTATGTAAAAATCATAATAAGAAAATTGTAAATAATACTAAGAACAATGATAATAATATATAGTAAAGAAGTTGACAGATAACCATAGTAAAAGAATGGTTATCTGTCAATTTTTTGTATTGACCAAGTAACATGAACTTAAAGCAATATCCGAGTCTGAGACAAAGCTCAGAGATCCATCATCTACAAATTCACGAAGTGAGGCTGAGCTTGGAAGAGAAAGCCAAGAGCAACCTACGCGGACACATTCTTCCTATTCTAAAACACTCTGTGACCACATAGACTTCTTCAAACGCCGCAGAAGCTGTGAATTTAAAGCTTTGAATAATCACACAAAGGTCCGGGAAGGTGTAAAGAAAAGCGAACACTACCATGCAGAATCATCGTCGAAAGCTATTCAAGCTCCCAAAAAATTTCAACAGGAGCGGTAAGGAACTCGACAAAGCGGTACGCATCGCATCCTCTAACAGCAGCAGCAACCAGGCTACTTAAACTGCAGCAAATTCAGCCAGAGGAGCGGAACGGTGAGCAAACTGTGATGTAGCGAACCACGAGCGAAGGAGAAGAAAAAGCAAACAAAAAAATACACGTGACATAACGGCCTCGTGACAGTTGAGGTCCAAGATGCGAGGAGAGGAGCAATGGTAACAGTAAAGCTTCGGGAGGACAGGGAGCGGGAGCTGCATTCAAATTATAGAGACGAGAAAGCCGTTAGAGGAGCCACAAAAAATAAGTGAGAGAGGGTGAAGGAGACGGGCCCACAGGCGGCAGGGGAAGGGAATTAAACGGCACTGAGTCAGTTGAAAGGGAGCAAGTCACGCTATCGTCACCAGAGCTCCAACGGCCTAATGCGGCGAGTTTCAATTTCGCCCCCGCCTTCAAACGCACCGAGGACGCACTGCGTGGCGCGATTGTACTCGCCGTTGCGGAAGACGCATTCAACATTCATAGGGGTTTAATTTATTGTGTCTGTCCCGACTGGCGGGCGGGCGCGCGGGATTATGGGGCCGTAGAGGTCGGAGCGGGGTGGACATCTTGGCGGACAAGGACAAGGTCCGCCTTCGGTGCCATTGGCGACCGGCGAAGCTTGTCGATTTAATTTTAATAGCCTCTACGCAGCTTTCGGGTGTGTGTTACGCTCTGTCACAGGGATCGGCGGCGCCGGAGAGATTCGGTCGTTAAGTGTTGCGCTTCCATTTGCTTTTACAGTCTGTTGCAGTGGATTGAGGAGCGTTTCGGGGCTGCATTGAGTGGACTTCGGGTGGAAGTTTTGGACGTGAGTAGATTTGGTGAGGGCTTTGGAGGTTTTGGAGTTAGGTACTGGAGGTTTTGGGGAGTGTTCCGAGTTTGGATCGTTCCCGGATCACTACCAGGGGAGAAGTGTTTCTTTGGTGCGTAGCGTTGCGTTTCTGGGATTCGAGATCTATTGGCAGGTTGTACTTTCGCTCCTGGTTAGCTTTGTAGCGGCCCTGTTGAATTTGTAATGAGGATTAGTTTCCCGTGCTGCGGGTGCCAGTTGTCCAGTATGAGATGGCCCTTCCTCTGTGACGAGTGGCTGGGGTTGTTCAGATCCGGCTCAATTGGATCGTGTATTCCCGGAATTTCGTATATCGTTCATGGTCTTGTGGTGTTGATCTCACAGAAAACTCCGTTTCGTGTTGTCAGTCTTGAACGTTCGAGAATATGTCCTCACATTGAGATTCGATTGCGAGAAGTAATTTTGAGTAATCCTGGCGAATGGCATTATGGCTATTGTCGACCTGCTTCCATTCTCATTTTCCTACATTTTCCAATCTCATGTGAGTTTGCAACCTTACATTAAGTTGAATGTGATCACCAGGTGACAATCAAGGAGATAGCGATGGGTCTTCAACCTGGAGTGCAACAGGTGGACACGACTTGTGGTTCGCTACTCCGTGAGCTCCAGGTCAGCTTCTATCGCTGTGTGTGGGTTATGTTCACTAGGGATTTTTTCGTTCTGAATGTCAACTAGGACTGATCGGGGTTTCCGTCGCAGCACATTTGGGACGAAGTTGGAGAAAGCGACAGCGATAGAGACAAAATGCTCTTGCAGTTAGAACAGGAATGTCTAGAGGTTTACAGGCGGAAGGTGGATAATGCCAGTCACAACCGTGCACTCCTGCACAAGACTATTGCCGATGCGGAGGGGGAATTCGCTGCACTCTTTTCAGCTCTAGGTGAACTAACGCTCTGTCAACGTGTGAGTGTCCTTGTCCCGCCCTTGATTCTCCAAAATAGACCCTCTACTACCATCTCTAGGTTTTCAATGGAGAATTCCCTTGCTCGACCGGACAGCAGAACGAAAACATGTGTTTTCCCTCAGTTTATCCAACATGTGTGATTCTTGACTGAATTCCTCAATCCATTTCAGGAGAGGTGCACTGGTACGTTGAAGGAGCAGGTTGCTGCGATTGGACCTCATTTAGAGGAGCTACGCAAGAGGAAAGACGACCGTGCGAGACAGTTCCATGAGGTGAAGATGCAGATTGCCAACATCTGTGGAGAAATTGCAGGATCGAATTACTCCGATATGTACGCTGACGAAGTCCAAGATCTTGCTCTCAGGAGGCTGGAGGAGTATCAAGCTCAGTTAACAGCCTTACAGAAAGAGAAGGTAAGGAGTGGGCACTCTTGAGTTGGAGTATCTCATGCGGCTGAATGTCCTCCTTGCCCTGTGGTTGGGGCCAAACTTTCCATCACACGGTCAGAATTATCCCTAGACGATTGCGCCAGTCAATTGACCTGTGTGTTATGGTAACCACTATTTACTGTGATTCTATCAGAGTGAGCGGGTGCACAAAGTGTTGGAGTATGTGAATTTGATCCACCAATATTGCTCGGTGATGGGAATGGACTTCTTTCCACTTCTTGCTGAGATTCATCCCAGCCTGGATGAATCGAAGGGACTTCCCAGCAGCATCAGCAACGACACTCTCGACCTTCTTGAGAAAACCATTCAGTCTTTGGAAGCTGAAAAGCATGAACGGGTTATGAAGGTGGTTGTCTTCCCGCAGCACTTACACTACGAAGCGCATTCTAGCTCAAATTATATTGTAGCCATCGATGGTTGATCTAGTGGCCTCCTCAGATACTTCGGTTTCTAAATTGTTCCATCTATTCCCTCAGGTCAAAGAAATTGGCGCATCAATGTTAGAATTGTGGAGCTTGATGGACACCCCAGTTCACGATCAGCAAATGTTCGCGCACATCACATGCAACATTGCCGCTGAGGAGAATGAAATTACCACCCCAGGATGCCTCTCATTGGAGACTCTAGAGCAGGTCATTAAATGCTATATACCTATATTGTGAAGCATTTTGAAGCCTAGAAATTATGGAAACATCTTTCTGTTTGTGGCTCATCGTTTTGAGGATGGACTAAGCCCTTGTCAGTTTGTTGCTGTTCTCAAAGGCGACTAATCTTTAATGACTTATTTTCAGTGTTCACTTGCATCCACTCAAACATTTGCAGCTGTTACCTTTCGTGAAACAGGCGGAGATTGATGTTGGAAGGCTACTAGCTTTGAAAATCAGCAAAATGAAAGAACTCGTGCTGAAAAAGCGTGTAGAGCTGGAGGAGGTGTGCAGGAACGCGCATTTGGAGCCAGACCCGAATACCGCAGAAGACAGACTCGTCGCATTAATTGAGTCAGGCGTGGTCGACGCAGCAGACCTTCTCACCAATCTTGAGGGTGAGATCAGCAAAGCTAAGCAAGAAGTTTCCAGCAGGAGAGATATTATGGTGCTTATGGAGAAGTGGATGTTGGCTTGCGAAGAGGAGGGATGGCTCGAAGAGTACAATAAGGCGAGCTTTACCCTTTCATTCATGACCTTGTATTTTAAGGACACATTTCCGTCCTGGTAGAATGAAAATTGACAAAGTTCTTATTTACGCAGGATGAGAATCGATTTGCTAGCAAAGGTGCTCACCTCAATCTCAAACGTGCTGAGAAGGCTCGGGCAGCGATCGCTAAACTTCCAGGTATGAGGCGCCTATCCAATCTATCTTTATCCGCTGTATTGTGATCATTGCCCTTGTTCATGTGTTTCTACCATGTGTAATGCTTATTGAACTGTTAACATAAATGAATGCAGCTCTGGTTGATTCGTTGACACTGAAGACAAGGGCTTGGGAAGAGGAGCGTAACGTTCCATTCATGTTCGATGGGGTGAGTCCTCATTGGTGTATGTCAGTAAGTTCGTCTGCTCGCGACCGTACTGTTTGTGTAAAAATCAGTTGATGGGTTAACAATACGAATGATGTTCGAGTTGGCAGGTACGGTTACTTGCAATGCTGAATGAATACAATCATCTAAGAGAAGAGAAGGAGGAAGAGAAACGACGATTGAGGGTATTGCACTCCCTTACCTTAGCAATACACCCAGCATGAATGCCTTACCACACTCTTTGCAAATCCTGCATCCCACTTGTAAGGCACCTACTAGCATGCTTCTGAAATTAATTTTTTTTCGATTTCTTCAGGATCAGAAGAAACTTCAAGAGCAGCTGTTGAACGAGAAAGAGGTTCTATTTGGGTCTAAGCCAAGTCCAAGTAAATTCGCTATAAATCCAAGGAGAGGAGGTATTGGTTCTCGAGCCAGTAGTATTGGTACGCGTCAAGAATCTGTACCAAACAGGCGTCTTTCTCTTGGCAATGCTATTATGCAGCCAGGAACTCCAGAGTTTACACGTAATAGTACTATCACAAGGACGGGATCCTCAGCCGGTAAGGATATGAAGCCTGGGCGACCCAGACTTCCTTCCAATCACATGGGAAGCAGCAAGGACGACGTCAGCTCTGCAGGTTCGTCAGCTCCCATCTCCCCTCGATTCCTGTATTCGTCATGGTGCCGCGACCACACGACTGCTGTCACGTCTGTCAATAATCAGCACGCTTAAAGAAAATATTTTCCTGGCTTAGCAAGCTTTCTTGATGCAGTCTATGCGTTGTCAGGCTGACTGAAAAAGTCATTCTGTGATAAATTCCATGTTAGGTGGCAAGAACGGTATGGCTGCTGTTAATCATCCTCAAGCACAAGAGTTAGCCGCAGCTTATCGGCAACCTCTGTACCCTTTCTCACCCTTAGCTCCATTGAAGCAACTCCATATGGATGATGCCAGCAATCGTGCAGCCTACTTGACGGTAAAGAAGCCAACTACTCCTTCAGGTGCCCACTTGGGTCACGTGAAGAGTGGCATGCCAAGCACGCCAACCTCTTTTGGAGATTTGGAGAATACTACCCCTCGCATGCAGCGCACCCTTGAATTCTCGTTTGATGATCGCCGAGCCAGTGTACCCTACGGCGGCCTGCAAACTAGTTACTAGGCTGGTGCTATTGCCAAAAGGGCAAATCACTCATTTTTTCCTCCTGTACATTTAGCTATCAGAACTTCCAGGCGACAATCCTTATTGCCTTGGTTTTATAGTATGTCTTCCTAACTGCGCTGATCAAGCGACTCGTCATCATCAATTGAGACAAACACAGTTGCAACTCATGCGTAGCAGCACTTTTTAGGAAAGTGACATGGAATGTCCGAAAGTCGTAGATCAATTTCAGACAGTTGATTACATTCCGGATTAATGATAGATTGGCTATGCAGTGCAAAATGGCACCTTTGTACAGAATTTTTTCAACTTACAACTTCAGACTCCTCCCACTGATACTACTCTTTCAGCATACCCTTTACCAATTTGTACCATTTTCTTCCCTCCCCAGCATATTGCCACTTGCCTCCAGTGACAAATTCAATCAGCGATAAACAACTTCTCCGAAAGTATGCGGCCGCCGCAAGTGGACATATTCGCTTGTAAACCTCGATCATTAGGTCATCACTAACTATAAAAATGTAGCAACATGTGCAGCTGCAGTATAGTATCATGTTAAAGTAATTTACATCAAATCTGGATATGATCTTTACCATATCCAATTATTGTTGATACACAATTCTCGACACTTATCAAATTTAAATAGAAATTCACAGCGACAAGTTGTACTGTTGCAGCATCTGCTTTGCCACAGGGTCATTTCGCTTGGATAAGATGCGCGTTTCATTAGCAGTATAATATAAGCATATACGAGATAGAACTGGTACTTGCGAAAGAGACTGGGTCCTGTGTTTTGAAGATAAGTTTATGGTATTAAAATGATTAATTCCAGAGCTAAGACTTGGTTCAGCATAATGTCGTGCCCTCAGCTCGCGACCCCTCAACCTCCTCATGCAAATCTGTCCTCTCCATTCAGTGCTAAATGCAGACAATCCAACCTTCTGATGAACGAGACGATGGTACAGTGTCAGTACTTGACAGACCCATTCAATCTAGATGATTGACAGAGGAACTTAGCTGCTCAGAGGTTGGTGCTCGCTGGTAGGCTATTAATACACGTGGAAACGCAAAAGAGCTTCCATCCACTTTTGCTACTTCCTAGGATTTCTGAGGCAAATGAATTAGAAGCCAGAACAGCATTAACCCTAAGTTCCTCCAACAAAAAGTCACGATGGTGCTCGACAAGACGAGATTGGGTCCGGCTTCCTCTTAGAAAAGGGCTGCTGAGCTCTGGTTGATTACAAGGGGGCTTTTTCGGAGCGCTGAATGTGGTACAGTTGAATGGTTAGAGCTGGGACCGACTGCCCGTCCACATCGTCCACAAAACAGCTGTTGGGCTGTGGATGCAATTCAGAAAGTAAGGATCAGAAAACCTAGACCTGGATAAGACGGCAAGTGAAGGAATGGTTTCACTTCCTTAGAAGAAGGATGCATATTGTTTGGAAAGACACATCAAGGAAAATACGCCAACATCCACTACAAATCTCTACATGATACGATCGTAGGGGTAAAATTTTCATACCAGGAGAACGAGGTAAACATAGAGCTAGAGCCGAGGGGAAGTAGGTGCGGATCCACCATCAGTGCTTGTGATCTCTTTCTCGATTGCAACGTTACTAACAGGCGCAGCAGGTTTGGTTCTTTCACGTTTCATTTCTTTGCCATTCCCGTTGGAGGCTGGGTTCCGTGAATTAGTGCTACCGTTACGAGACAATTCAGGAGTTGCTGGAGGCTGCATTATAGCATCACCCATGGACAAGCGCCTACTTGCCGGATTATGTCCATTGCCTCCAATGTTGCTTATTCGAGGGCCTCTCTCCGCTTTCTTACTGCTCAAAGGCGCAGGCTTAGCAGGACTTGGTCTAGACCCGAAAAGGGTCTCCTTCTCGGTCAACATCTGCTCCTGGACTTTCTTGTGATTCTGAGAAGAGAGTAAAAAGTTATTACTTCAGTGTCTAGAACAAAAATTGTACTTTGAAGCCCCTGCAAAACGCTTAACCCCGTCTAAGATGATCAAAACGATTTTTCACGAGATTTCGTGATGACAATGCTGTCACTCATAGCAACCAACAACGTTCTTGTGACAGTCAACTCAACACCAGGTTTCAAAGAGAGCATTGTAGATTATTCGATACCTTCAGGCGACGCTTCTCCTCCTCTTTCTCTTCCCTAAGATTCTTGTATTCATTCAGCATAGACAGCAACCGCACCTACAACCATTCTCACAAAAAGAGGCTCTTTAGTGAACCGACTTCAGAAGGGACAGAAAGGTCAGGAAAGATAGGTAGCAGCTGATTCATGGCTCCACAAGGTTGGGATAACATACCCCATCGAACATGAACGGAATGCCTCGTTCTTCTTCCCATGATTTTGTTCTTTGCGTCAATAAGTCCACCATGGCTGTTCAAAGTCAAAAAGAAAAACACAGAGCTGCTTTGAATGGACATTTTGAAATGAAGAGTCTTCAACAATAGGCTAGGTATACAAAGCATATATGCGGATTGGAAAGTCGTACTCCAAGAATCAGAAGTAGTGAAGATCAAGACTGACCAGGAAGTTTGGCGATGGCTGCACGTGCCTTTTCAGCTCGTTTAAGGTTCAAATGAGCGCCTTTGGCATTAAACCTATTTTCATCCTGAAACCCCATGTGCAAACTTAGCCCTCACGGTGGGAACAGGAAAGAACTGAAATCCAAGCGCTTGAAAAGACTGTTTCCATGTGCCATGCTAATGAATACATCCTTGAAACCAATAGAATGGAATTCAAGTACCTTATTGTAGTCCTCAAGCCACCCCTCCTCTTCACATGCTGACATCCACTTCTCCATTAAATTCATGATGTCCTTCCTGCTGGCTACCTCCCCCTTGGCTGTAACAATCTCCTCTTCAAGATTTGCGAGAAGCTCTGCTGCATCCACCGTTCCTATTTCCCAAAAATTTAACCCAGTCAGCTATCGACCCTGAGCTGAGTACTTTAAGAAGCACAAACAGTGACACATGTGAGCGATCTTAATCTGTGACAACTTTCAGTACCTGAATCTATCGCAGCAATAAGCTTTTCAGCAGCAGTGTTAGCATCCGGCTCCAAGTGAGCACTTTTGCACACTTCTTCTAGCTCCATTCTCTTTTTCATCACAAGTTCTTTCATCTTGCTCTTCTTGAGCACATCAAGCCTTTCTACCTCAATCTGGGCCTGGTAGAAATTCTCAAAATTCATTTTAGTAAGCTGAAGCAAGAAACCGTGGCTTCTCTGCCTACAACAGTGTCACATGCTCTAACATTTTACTTCACGTCCACAACAAACCAGGATCGTCAAAACCTCGATAATAGACTAAATTTTGAGATGTAGCATACCTCCTCAATAGTTTCTACTGAAAGAGAACTTGGGCCACTAATTTCATCTTCACTAGCTGAGATGAGGCATGTCACATGCTGAAAAATCTGCCGCTCTTCAACTGGAGTTTCCATCAGACTCCACAATTCCATCATCGATGTTCCAAGCTCCTTAATCTGCGTGCGAGAAACGGACTCACCAAAATCAGCATCCACCATGATGAGATGACCTTCATCAAAGCTAAGACTTCTAAATTAGAACATGCAAAACAATTTGAAATAAACCTCTAAACCAATTCTGTCAGAAGTCGGTTCAATTCCTAATTAAGTTTGTGATTTTATTTATTAACTGTAACTTCCCACCTTTGCTACTCTTTTCCTCTTTTCAGCCTGCAAGGAGTGAATCGTCTTTCCCAGACAATCAAGAGTTTTGTTGCTGATGCTTTTGGGAAGCTCTTGTGAATCGTCCAAGCTGGGATGAACTTCCGTAACCAATTGAAAAAAGTCCATGCCCATGACTGAGCACAGTTGTCGCATTAAGTTCACGTCCTCCAGCACTTTGTGCAGACGCTCACTCTGCCACAAACACGATACCGTTCATGAGCAAAGTCACAGTCAGGACGCTGATTACTGTTCTGCAATACTGACAAGTTTTACATTCCTCTCTCGTGGAAAGGAAAATCCTAATTTGATATTCTATGCATTTCAGAAGCGTCGTTACTCAAAGCAATCTGAGGCAGAACCACACATATCGTTTTAAAAGTATCTAAGTCGACGAATCTGAGGATAATTACTATAGTGAATACTAAAAAATTGAGATAAGATGTATGACATGAAGCTAAAAATATTGAATGTTCAAAATGGTCACTCTAATCTTGGTTGAAAGAGTGTCACAAAACCGAGGTTGATAAATGTGACAGTAATAAGGTTTAACTAATAAGCTTACTACCTAATCTACAGATAACTTTCCAACCTTTTTTCTTCATTCATCAATAACACGGACTGAAGTAGAAATTACAGAGAGTCGCCTTCGGCCTTATCCAAGATCGATCCACGTTGTCTAATAAAGAAAAATCCACCCCAGAACTTATAGATCTCATGATTTTCCTTCGAGGCTTGGTACACTCCTATATACCGAGGTTTGCAATCTATTTTAGATGGAATCATCGACTGAAACGACAAACTTCAAGAGCCAGAATATCTGTGACAAGAATTCTATGTATTAGACTAACTACCTTCTCTTTCTGGAGTGCTTCCAGCTGGCCATGATAGTCGTTCAACCTTTCGAGCGTTAAATCCTTCTCGTCGGGAACATTCACTTCTCCATAAGTTCCTGCAATCTCTTCACAAATCTTAGCAATCTTCGTCTTCACCTCCACAAATTGCCTAGCTCGTTCTGCTTTCCTTCGACGCAGTTCCTCCAATTGAGGCCCGATAGCGGCAACTTGATCCTTCAGTGTACCAGTGCGCTTCTCCTGAAAAAAGGTGCAAAAGTGCTCAATCAGCAAAGATGCAACAAGATAAAACTACTTTGAGACCAAATCATCGGAAAGAGAGCCATACCGACCCACTTCGTACTGATTTATCCCTAAATGCGATAACTAGAGCCCGGGTAAGCATGTCGTGGATGTTAATTCAGCTTAATAAGAACAACCACCATGACGTAGTAACTCAAAAAAATGTCGACCCCACCACATTAATTGTTGTTAACGGCAATCAACGCGCTTCAGCATTCTCACGGAAAGCTAATGTGTATCTCGCTCAACTGTTGGGGGCAGGGCTCTTGCAGTGCAAATATACTTCAAGTAGATGCAAGGAGGAGTCAAACCTTGACGAATAAGATCTCTAACATTAAATGCTCTATTTCCTAGCACAAAAGCGACTTTCTTCTAAAGGTCATGCTGACCTTGAGTTATAAATTGGAGACAGGTTATCATACTTACACGTTGACTAAAAGCAGGTTCTCCAAGAGCAGAGAACAGTGCGGAGAATTCCCCCTCCGCACTTGCAAGGGTTTCATGCAACCGGGTTCGAGCATGGTTAGCTGCATCTACTTTGCGTCTATAAACCTCTAGACACTCCTGCTCCAGCTGCAACAGCATCTTGTCCCTTTCCACTTCGTTTTCTCCAACTTCGTCCCATATGTGCTGCAGCGTTTATCCCATGAGGTATCAGAGACCATCTTGAATAGACCGAAATGAGGCTGAGAAAACATCTAATCAAAGATGATTGGCTAAGCGCCGTGCGTGACCCTTGTCAATATGAACAGAATGAACTCGAGCTAACCAAGTGAGTTTAGACAACATTGACTACATGGTTTTAGGATAGCAAATAAACCTGGAGCTCACGAAGAAGTGTGCCGCAAGTTGTATCCACAATGGTGTCCGTCACAGGCTGCTGAACCATTGTGGCTTCTACAAGATCACCTACACAATACAAAATCCACGGAAGGTTTTGATATCAAGCAGGCTCGTACATCCTTCAAGCTGCAAGACAATACAGAGGTAGTCTCCTTAAGAGGAGAGATGTTCCCCCCCAAAAAAACTCCACGTACACTGTGCTACATTTCGCTGACTCTGCGCTACGGTCCTAACGAAGAACTCTCCCCAATTACTAAAATGCTCCATATCTAACAAAGCGCCCATCATAACCCCGAAAAACTGCAGAACAGCTGTAGACAACGTTATCGAGATTCGTTCAGCAATTGCGCCCTCAAACAACAACGAATAGTACGTGTATGATGCTTACGCTAAGACCAAGAACCAAGTCAACACGAACAAGCACCCATAGAAGAAACAGACAAAAAAGGAATAATAAACTACAGCACTTACAATAATGTGTATATACAAAAACAAACAAGCACAAGACGCAACCTCCACCGAAAGCCACCTCAAAGCTCATCTCCACCCCATGGCAAGCAACCCAAGATCCCAACACAAAAGATCGAACTACCCACAACCAACCTGCACTTCGAGCGTTGCTGGAAAGTCGAAATCACACATGCACAAAAAAAATCTCCTATCCGTACTCCTGTCCACCTCTTCCCCAGTCCCAAGCTCCACAGACAGCCCAAATGAGGGAAAGAAAATAGGTTATAGAGCACTGTAAGAAACGGCAGGTAGAGAGACAATGCCTGACCAGGGAGTAGTGTTCCCAAATGGCACCCGAGGAAGACGACCCACACAGAGCGAGCAAGAGGCACGCAAGAAGCGCCAATGGCAGTAATGATAACTCATGTATGACACAAAATTCACTGCCAAGGCTCAGGCACTCTGCAACTCCGACAATCGTTCAGAAAACTCTGTACAACTATTGATCTGTCAAGCTGCCCATCACTCGCGCACCCCTCCCCGTCTCTTCTTCCCCTTTGACTTCCCTCCATTCCGAAGCCCAATTAGTCCCTTCGTTGCCGTGCCATCGTGTCCATAAAACGCCTCCTTATTGGGTTCTACCTTGAAGATCTGAGCTGGACGACGGAATCACGATGGCCTGGCCGTTGAAGCAGTAATCAATGTTTCTCACATGACCTTGGACAGCTTTGCAATTAGAGGAAGCACTGTAAGTCGGCGAGTTGGACGATTCGCTGTAGGTCTCCAGGTTGATGGATCATGAAGAGTTGATTCACATACGCACAAAAGACATGGTTGAGGATTCAACGGGTCGATCACCAAATTCTTCAAGTGTCTTGCGATGGTGTAGCTTCAGCTCTTCGATCTCATCTTTTAGTCTACTCGGATATTCCTGCATTCTTGATAACTGCCTTTATTCACATGGTGATCTTTTGTGTACTGAATGTCAGCCAGCCGCCGCTAGCTCAGGAATTTGATCCAGCATTCCATGTGCCTAGGATATAACTGCAAGTGGTGGTTCAATATATCAAGAGTATCTGTGTGTCGTCACGATCGCACGCTGCTATTGTTGGGGACGAGACGTTAAGAGGAAATCAATGATAAGTTGTTTACCAAGTGTTCAGTTGAAGAAGACGTAAGCCAGAAATGATGGCACAGAAACGGTTGGTGGGGAGGATGATGATTTTACTGGAATTGCTGAAGATGTCTCACGGTGGTTGGCTTCTGTTGATAAGGAGAGCAGGAAGTATCCCAGGTATGGAGCCTGGTGCTGTATACGTCAGCACGTCGCAGCGGAAAACCAGGCTCAAGTGGCTGTCTTTTGACCAAATTTCCACACTTCCACGTCCTTGTCATGCCGGATGTCAGGGCGCTCTGGCCACCTTGTACCGCCCCATCTGATGCAGTTTGTAACCACTTTGCTTCTTTGTTCCTGTGTCAGAATGTCCAGTGTCGTTGTCCACTTAGTAGCGAGATCACTCTGTGAGGCCACACACATCTGCAGGTGGTTTGTAGCGCAGAAAAAGGGATTAAGTGCACCTAAATTTGGTCCGCGGGGTTTTCTTTGTCCCTAATAGTCTACATCCACGGAGGCGGGGTTTTCTTTGTCCCTAACAGACTACATCCACGGAGAGATTTGTGAAAGCTCATTTCTTGCTGTGCAGCCGCAAAAAAGTTGGGTGTTTAATACACTTCATTCTGGTGATAGCTGTAACCTTCACTGCATTGATGGAGTGCTACCTTCAGAAGTAGCAATTGGAAAGAATTAAACAAGAAGCAAAAGTTCATTGTAGACTCATGAGAAAGAGGGATGGATGCCACAATAGTTCAAGTGAAGTAAAGCGCCATGATGAAACCAGAAAAAAAGACAGGTGTTTCAGACCACCACGTGAAGTTCCATATTGATGAGATATGGTTTAAAGAATCTCCCCGCAAATAGCAATCAGAATACAAGAGTCAACATTAACAGAAAACGACGCGAGATTGCACTTGTCGAAAGCCTGTCATCGAATCCAGAGAAACCAGAGTCGCTCAAATCATACCATATGGCAACATCCATGTAACGAATGACCTACGAAGTTCGTTGATGTTTCGCCAAAAGTTATACGCACAGGCGACATTAAAAATGAATGCACAGAAGGACACTGCTAATGATCGAGAGAGACGTTAATGTAAGGCCGATAAATGGGCAACGCCATCAAACAAACCGAAACACACACGTTCTGCTAGCAACATGTCTTCAGAATTAGAACCATACTAGTTGTAAACCAGGTCCTCCTAAACCAACATACACAAGTGCGACTAATCCAACCTTGATACAATCGACTCTAATTTAACCCAGCTGGTTGTTGCATGATAACCGCTCAGCAAGCACATTGCTGAACGTTAACAAGTACTTCAAAGAACTTAGGGGTTTGGTTTTAATTCCTTTATCAGCAATAACACCTCCAAATGGAAGTTTGTGAGCTTCGCGGTCATCACTTTCTTGGAGCTGCCAACCATCAACAACATAAATATAGATTGCTTTACAACTCGGGTGCAGACAGACATCATAGCTTTACTGCCAACCAGAAATCAAACAATTCAAAGAATTATGCCACATTGCAACAAGTACATGCTTCGATTGCAAAAAATAAACGAAAACTTTCAAGGCACACATAATACATACCTCCCCCAATTGTAGCTTCAGGTAATCTCTCTATAGAATATTGATGCTGTGAGATGTACATTATTGGAACACCAGGAATCTGCGACAAGTGAATCATTAAATCAGGATCTAGCTGAACAGAGCTTCGCCGACACAAAGCCAGGTACTTAGGTGATATCAGAACAACAGAACTCTGCGAGAAACAATAGTCTAACCTTACGAATGCGACGTTTCAAATCCCGATCACATGTAGCAACAATATAGCACTTATTCTGTACATCGATCAAGGAATCCATTATAGTTAGAAAAGCAACTCAAAAGCTATGTAACCAAATCCTTTAAGACAAAACTACACCATAAGTCAAAGAACGGAACTTCACTAACTCATACAAAAACTGCTAAAATTGCAATCTTATGTCTATCTCACAAGAGCAAAATTAACTAGTGATGTAGATAAGTAGAGAAGAATTAGTCTTACTCGAGTAACACGCTCCACAATACAATCATCAGCATATGTACCCTTGTGAGTGCAAGGCAATGTTTCAAATCGTGGATCCTTAGCAACCCTGCCAAAAATCTCAACGATACACTAAGAAATACGACCACTCAAGATAATGTTTTCATGTTTGCAAACGTTCACATTGTCTTGTATCTATACCAAATTTAAACTACAGCATTAAATTCTTGAAACCATGTTCACAGCTCCGTAACGTAACACTAGTAAGACAGAAACGACATACGCATCAAAATAAATCAACAAATAAGCAAATAAGCAGTAACAGGCAATTAAACCTAGTTGCAGTCATATGCACCTTAAAGCGACGCGATACTTCTGACCCAATTTCTCTAATTCGGCCATCACACAATCCGTGATACAAGGTGTACCTGTAGGCCAAACAAATCGTTAATCATGTACTCGCCCAATCAAACAGGATACAGAAGCAACCTTGATACCGTAAACTTCTATGGACCAATTCTCTAGCAACGAATAAACACTAGGTATTCAGAAAAACAACAATGAAACCGCTGGCGAAAGCAAGCTACTTACATTTGGCATACAGACAGTCCATCATCGCCTTCTCCAGATCCAACTGCGAACCACTCACAGCAAATGCATACATTAGAACTAAATTAGAAAAAGTGAAATCGATCAAACGAAACCTAATACTCATTAGACATCTAAGAAAACTACACTTCTTTCAGCCGATAACCACTTCAGTGCGAGGATGCAGGATTTCGCCCTGAGCTAAGCAAACAAAACCCACGGCGTCGAATAAAAAGCAACCACGTGCTAGATTCATACCTTGTTCTGAATTGAGAAGTTGATAAAATTTGTATCCACTAAAACTTGATACGGTGGTCCAAGTGCAGTATTATGTTTGAAGAAAAGGGCTGAGGAAGTATTCGGTCTACATCACAGCAATCCAAAACCAGCTGAAGAGTGACTAAACAGGAAACGCTAGTCCTATTCCGACTTTGAGCTAAACTTAAATGCGTTTGATTCAGATATGTCGAATACACCCCTAAAGAGAGTTCCCAACAACTCTTCTCGGATTACTTACTACAAGAGAGGTCAGGCCAAATCCACAAATTGCAAACCATAACCCCAAGATTGCATATACTGATACAGATCGAGAACGAAAGGTGGACATGTGTAATGGCAGATGAGTATAGGTCTCAAGAGAGCGGACTTACACGTTTCTAGGGAGCTTCTCTAAGCTAGTATCCTTCCTCTTCGGGTTCAAAACGTCGTCCTTGTATCTTCGTGGACAAACAAAGCAATCATCAGTTTTCCTGCCAATTGCCACACGAGAAGGAAAGTCGCAGAGGTAGCATTTTGCCACACTCCAAACCGCATAACCACAATTCACAGTCACTGCATACATTCTACCCAGAAATCAACTCACTGTTTAATTGCTTTCGGCGCGAGCATACGCTTCACTTGAGCGAACTTCCGAGTCTTCTTAGCCTTCGTCATGTCTCCTCTCTTGCCCTTCCCCTGTCTAGTGCTCTCTGAGCGAAACCGACCCAGAAACCTTAGAAAACCCGCGAATAAAAATTGATCAGCTTCTCACGTCAGGTGAAACACAAATTTTAAGAATTATGTGGAAAGCTTAGTACAATTCTCGGGGGACTAAGAGATGGAGTCGCAGACAGAAGCAAACAGAAACTGCGACCTTCCGAAGGTTTTCGGTTTTAGGGTTCCGACCTCAACACGAATGACGGATGATAACTTGAACCGGAAACGAATGAATCGACGACCCGTTGATGAATGACGTCCTGCTGAATGAACTGGTGATGAATGAAACCGTAGCCCTGTGATCCATGAGCATATTCTATCATTTGTGGAATATAGACTACCAGTACACAATACCCAATATATAATCTACCTTAAATGAAGATGCTCGTAAACACACACAATGCATCTAACATTATCAGTGTATTTGAATGCAATGCTGTTTTGTTTCAAAAACTGAGATAGAAGAATCATAAATCATATATTGAAATTTTTAATACAATATATTAGTAAAAAAAATTATAAAATTATTGAAATATTATAATAAAAAAAAAAACAGTTATTTCTTTGCATGTGAAAATTTTAAAAAAGTTGAATATTACATGGTTATGTTTTAAAATATTTTTTAAAGATTTTTAATATTGTGCATTAAACATACCAAATAAAACACAAACTATTCTATCTTTAATTTTGGTGTTTCATTTTTTAATATGGTTGATTTAAGTCATATATTTTATAATATTGTATATTTGATAGGTTTTAAATATGTATTATAACTACTGAGACTAATTTTGTGTGTATATCCTGTGGTTTTACAAAAACAATTATAAGTTCTTTACATTTAAAAAGCCACTATAACAGCTTTTTATAGCTTGGGTACTTGTCCAGAAAGCATTGTGGTTCTTAAAAAGCTTCTTCATTGCCTTCTTGTTGGCTAAAAATAAGCTTGTTTTTAGTCATTTCATTTTTTATATGTAATATAGTATTGGTTAAAGATTTTGTAATATTTTTAGTATCTTCATCTTTGATAAATATTTCTTCTTGGTTTTATTTCTTTTTATTATTTAATTTAATTTTAAAATCCTCATTTATAAAAAATGTATCTATATTTATTGCCTTTTTATTTTTTTATTACTAATTATAGACTTTAATTATTTTTAATATAGAATAAACTATCAATTTTTTAAAAGAATTGAAGTCATTTTAAAGTTGTTGATATTAATTTATGAAAATAAGTTTATAGAAAAAAAATGTATTACAATACAAATTTAAAAATAAATGAAATGCTTACAATGCATCAAATTATTTACTACTACAACTATTATAAAGTGTGACTAATAAAATAGAGGTGCTATGCAAGAGTTGCTTGGACAATTGCACTACCTTCAGTGACTATTTTTACTACAAATCATCATTTAAATACAATTTCTTCAACAATTGTACTACCTTTGGTGACCATTTCACTACAAAACATCATTAAAATATAATTTCTTCTGTAAAAGAACCAATAATTATTCTTTTAGAAAATTTAAATAGTATTAAGTTCAAGTTTGGTCAATTTGTTAACCAAATACAATTAGTTATTGAACTTTGTCAAATCTAAAGTTAGAGAATTTAATATATATATATAGATGCACTTTAATCAAATTTGGTTGCAAATAATGAACACAACCATCATACGAAAGTATATATATTTTTTTAATATTTTGATTTCACAAACCAATTGAGTGTAGATTCTATCTAATACATCAAAAACCTTAAATAATCACTTTGGTATTTTTTGTAGATTATAATACTGCAATTTTTTTTGTAAAATACCATTTTTAGAATTAAAAAGTAGAAACCGTTTGTAGGCATATTTATGATTAATGTAATTCTTTGATGATAGTTCTAAAAATTTCAATAAACTAATTGTAGATTCTCAATGAATGTATTAAAGAAAATTTGGTTTTTTAACAATTGAAGTTGTACTTTCATTAAAATATTAAAACCAAGAATATCAATTAAGAATCAAATTTGACAAACTCTAAGACCAACTAAAATTTCATTTAGATGTTGTTAATTTATTTATTAAAAATCATTTTGTGAACATTGATGCTATATAAAATTATTGTATAAAATTTTATTTAAAAAATAAAAATATACTTTGGAATTTAATCTCTGAATATTGCACGTTAATAAGTATGCATTCAAATTATAACTAATCTTTAAATTAATATCTTTAAAATCTACTCTCCAGTTTTTATTTTTAAAATTTTTTCTCTTTAATTTTAATAAGTTTTAAAAGATTATATCTTTTGAAAAAGGATTTATTTTGATAATTTTATCTTAATTATTTAATTTTCTCACACTATTTTTTATTTTTTTATTTATGATCAATTTGTTATTTGATATATTTACAGAATAAAAAATAAAAAAAAGTTATAAAATTGAAGAATGAAATAATAGATATTTAACTTTATTTTTTAAAGTATGTTTAAAACCAAACTCTTACTTTTTCTAATTGTTCAAGAATGCATTTATTTCTTTGCGGTAGCAGAATCAAGATCGTACCAAATAATATAAATATTAACACTAATAAAAAAATAAAATTATATTAGTTACAATAATAGATGCAATTAATGTAGCTATAGTGCAGCTTGCATTTATAAATCTAAATATTGTATATTATTGATACACAAAAATATAACAAAAAAGATGGTAATGGAAAGTTTAAATTGTCAATAAAGTGTACATATTTCATGGTTCATTAGAGGTATAGAAATCAATGTGTAAGGATGGTTAATATTTATTCTAATATTGGTAATTGAAACTTTAATTATGTTTCAAATTCTTGTATAATTCTATAATGCAGATATTAACAGATTGTGGCTCTAAGGCAATGAATATAATTTTTTGCATTTTACATTGTTAATAATAAATTCAGAATAAAGTTTTATCTAAATTCCGTTAATTTATTAACTTCTAATATATAATATATAATGCATATCTTTTGTATTAAAATAAAGACATATAACATTATCAAAACATTATAAAGGCACATTATAACATTAAAAAATAACATTAACAATAAAAATAATAAATTCTTAACGTTATTTCTACTATATATTAAAATATAACTATAAAAAATATTTAGATGTTTAGAATCACTTTTAAAGGTGCAACAAGTATAAATAAATGAAAAGAGGGAGAAAAAAAGGGAAAAAAAGAAGAAGAAATGACTAATTTATTTTTAAAAATAATAGAAAGTGCTCAAAAGCCAAAAATATACAACTAAAAAACATTTGTACAATAGAGAAGTTTCCCTTATTAGTTCATATTAGAAATCTGTTGAAATCAACATTAACACACAACAGCAAGAAAGATAAAAAGAGAAAACATTGCTTTTGCTTTAGTTTTTTCACTATAAACATAATTTTGTGATGGTTTTTCCCCCTTCTATTATTACTTTGATATATATAAATTATTTAAAATTCAATCCATCTCCAAGCCTACTGCAAAAAGACATCTTACTCAGTCAGCTCCAACACATGACAAATACTCTGATGAAAAAGAAAAAGAAAACAATCAAACAAACTAACAAAAAAAATTATAATAAAAAATTCATAAAATAATTAAATAGCTCATGTTAATTATCTTGAAAAGAAGGAATCCTCACATCGCCATATCAATACATTGCCACACATTATCACCAATGAAATCTCGACCATGCCTTTCATTTATTTATTTTTGTTGCAGCCCTCGATTGTCACTCTTTAATGTCCAAAGTATTACCACAATTATTAACAAAATAATAATAATAATAATAATAATAAAATCTTCCACCCCCATCCTCTTCAAATCACACGGGCGATGAGGTCCACGGCCTAGGGATAGGTGGGTAGGTAGGGTTCCGATCTACACAGGGGGGAGCACGTGTGTATGAAGGTTTTACCGGCGCCGTTGCCGGTGAGGGTGTGCATACCGGGACCCGGCATGGTGGCTTTTTCTTTTGCCCCATGACTGTTTTTTCCGCACCTCGCTCCCTCTATCCGGATGTTTTTTCAGCAGCTTCGTGTGTGCGAGTCCGTAGTTGTGGGTGGGTCCACATGACGACGCTTTTCGCGAAATTGAAAGTAACCACACAAATTGGGAAGGGGAGGAAAGGAAGAAGATGACGAGCTGGGCCCCATTGTTACCGCGCCTACACCCTCCGTTTGTATGAGACCTTCTCTTCTCGCAGCGCTGCTTGCGATCTCAGCGACACCCCCTGGATCCAATTCAACTGCATGCGTGTGGATTTCCAACAACGAAACGAGCTCGCAGCTTTTCACTTCTATCCTGATTTTAGGGGATGAATAGCTCGAGCTGAGCTTGTATTTGGATTCGCAGCTCGTTGGTTGAGGGTTGAGTGCATGTGAGCAGGGATGGCGTGCACCGCCTCAGTTATAGTTGAGGTGAGTGGGTCGGTTTTGAGCTCCAGGGATGGAGTTAGGGGTGTGAAGAGATTGAGTACGGTTCATGGGTTGTCGGGTGGGTTTCTTCCTGCTCTTGCGAAGCGCCGACCGATCCTTGGAATGCAATGTGAGACGAGCAGTTTGGGTGGGTTCAGAGGTGTGAGTGAGGGAAGAGCGAAGTCGCAGAGTTTTCGATTGAAAGTGGTGGCGGATTCTGGAGTGACAACAATTCAAGAGGATTCGATTGAAGAGGATTCTATACTTCATCCTGAGGAGGAGAATGAGGTGAAAGATGTGGTGGAGTATGATTGGGAGAAGGAATGGTATCCCATGTACTTGACAGCAGAGATGCCCAAAGCCGCACCGCTTGGTCTCACTGTATTTGATAGGGAATTGGTGTTGTTCTATGACGATAAAGGCGAATTGCATTGCTTTGAAGATCGGTGCCCTCACAGGTTAGATAGCCTCTACTTCTTGGTTGCAACAACTCGTTGTTCTGCATCTGTGTGTGTACTTTGAATTTGCAAATTTAAGGCTCTATGGATGCCTCTCTGCCACAATTCAGATGTTGCTCCAACGACTTGGCTGTCAATTGTTGCAAGTCCCACTTACCTCTTCGATTGTAGGAGGCCAGCATCATGTATGGTTATTGCCTTTCATTTAATCTCTTAGTCTTGCTGGTGGTTAACTAAAGTAAAAGCAGCCAATGCTTGTGGTGACAGACTTGCCAAGTTATCAGAAGGAAAGGTGACTGATGGAAAGCTCGAGTGCCTGTACCACGGCTGGCAATTTGAGGGTAGTGGACAGTGTACTAAAATCCCACAGGTATTTTATTTTTATTTTTTGGTTTTAGATTTCAGTTTTTATAAAGTCGAATTCTGATATTGAAATTACAGGCGTTGGAATTTATCGCCTCTTAAATTCATCAATACGAGAACTTTGTGTGGATGAATTCATACTCCCATTATTTAGGTTTGTATGTTTCGAAGGTGTAGACATGCGATCCAGTTGAAAATGGGAGATTTTCTAGGGCTTAGTCATGAGATTAAGGCTGTCCTTTATTTCGATACGGCAGTTGGTGCCCGGAGCCAAAATCCCGAAGCAAGCATGTGCCAAAGCGTACGAAGTGAAGATATCGCAAGGAGTGGTGTGGGTTTGGCTTGGTGATAGAGCAACAGCGGATCCCTCGAAGCTGCCATGGTTCGAACATTATGAAAGGGAAGGGTTCCAGCACATCTCTGCTATTCACGAGCTGCCATACGACTACTCCATTCTTGTGGAGAATCTAATGGACCCAGCTCACATCCCCATCTCGCACGACAGAACAGACCCCTCAGCTAGGCGTGAGAACGCTCAAGCTCTGGTGCGTATACATCAATGTTTTGATCTTACAATATTTTGGAAGTTTATGAACTGGATTGCCCTTGCTTGATTGTATTTTTACATGAATTGCTTCATGGAAAATTTTAAAAAGACTATTGTGGGCAGTGCCTGTGAAGTTGACGAGTAAGATGCCAATTGAACAAGTATTGTCATGCAACATTCCACTTTGAGGAATTCCTTCGGAGGTTGATGATGATAGGATAGACTAGGCATCTTGTGTGAACTACTGATACTGCAGATCGCTGCTCCATATCTGGTCTTGATGTTCATGTAATCGTCATCATCAACTCATATTCATCGTCCGATGATCATCCTCCTATTTTTGTAAAGATTTTAAAAAATCAAAATATAAAACTCGAGTTCATTCAACTGCTCTGCCACTGGTAGGTTTTTGAAGTCACGGAGCGCTCATCGCGAGGGTTTGCAGGGAAATGGAAAGAGATCAGCAGCCCAAGCTTCACAAATGCGACTCGCTTTGAAGCACCCTGCATCGTGCGAAATGACAAAGAGTACGTCAAACCAGATGGCACGGACGCCCACATGAGTGCTGTCTTCCTTTGTAGACCAGCTGGTCAAGGCAAGTGTATGTTGATTGCGCGATTTGGTAGCACAAACTTTCCAGGATCGCTAAAAATGATCCCCCCCTGGTATATTCATATTACTAGTAATACGGTATTTGAGCAGGATATGGGATTTTTGGCATCACAAAATGAAGACCTGGTGAAGAAGAATCTACCCACGAAGGACTTGTATCTTAACCTGAAGTCGTCAGATACATGGGTTTCAGAATTCCGGAAATGGAATGACCTCGTGGGTCATGGTATGCCGTATTACTTTGGACATAAGACAATATCTCAAGCTAAGAATCCGGCAGTTGTGGAAGTCGCTCCAGCTGGATTTTCTGCGGCTGCCGCATCTTCATACCCGGCACAGGGATCTTTCGGCGAGATGTTTGCGAGAGATCCAACAAATCGGTATTTCCGTCATGTTGTACACTGCAGATCGTGTCTCTCAGCACTCGGTAGCTTTCAGACATATCAAAAGGTGGGCCTTCAGCACATTTCGTATACCTAGCTCCATGTCCTCGTGAGCCTCGCCAGGGTTATAATTTGCTGGTATTGTTTCTTTAACGTCTTAGCAATCTACGAACCAAAAGAAAACTTTTTTGCAGGCTCTACTTCTCGAAACCACTAACTAGAACTATTTTTGAACAGGTTGCTACAGCGTTTGGCCTAGCAGCAGCAGGCGTCGCCATTGTCCTGCCTTCTGTCGTTTGGAGAGCAACCCTGGTTATAACTGCCCTTCTGGCTTTTGCAGCGGCTTATGCCTGCTCAAGAGGCATTGCAATATTAACCAAAAACTATGTGCGGCCACATCGCAAGGGAGTGCAATGAATTGCTTCTACAGCTTTCACAGTTTCCGGTGAAATAGATGGTCCACAAAAGATTCAAAAATTACCCAGAGTGATTAAATGAATGTAGGTATGTCATGCAACGTACAGCGCGATGAGTTGCTTCTGGGTTTGAGGCTGGATTGTACGGTTTATGATTTGTGAGCTAATAATCCGCAATGTTTCGTTGATAGAAATGCCCCATCACATTGTAGATTACATGGTACGTTCAAAAGCCATCGAGCTCTTGAAAAACAGTTGATTAATGGTATCAATAACTGCAATTAGGATCTGACCCTATGATAGGTAATCATGTTAAACCTAAAACCCCTGGATTTTGCTACAATACTACATATTCTTGTGTACTATAATATGGAATTTACAGACACTCCTCACCACATCTTTTGAACATTGATACCCCTGTCACATCAATTATTACCAGCGTAAGAACCAAATCTTTCACTCTTACTGTTTCCGATTCTACAAACTACTAAATTGTCCCCGCTGTGCACTGTCTCTCAGCTCACGAAGTCTTTTGTAATGCTCTTTTTTCTGCTCGCTGGTCATACGACTCAGACGCACCTCTCGTTTCCTCGTAGATTTATCCCCTGAGTTGACACCAGAATTATCGTCGATTTCCGACCACACAGCTATACTGAACGGGTCCACTAAAAGATCCGTTTCTTCGATAGCCTGTATAAGGGTCAAAAGATGTGTTAGTTCGATTCCACTTTCAGTGAAGAAATATAAACAATGCATTGTGTGGTGCACTGTAATCAGATAGCAAATGTCAGACTGAATGTAGATCATGCCTGTGAATTATCTAAATCGCTGCCTTCTGCAGCCTGCCTTCGACCGATGCGTGTGTCACGCCTACTGATCATATTTCTTGGTTTGCCTCCGAGTTCACCAAATTGACGTTCTTGACCTTCCATCCCATAGTCAGGTGGACTGTCACCCAAGGAGCTGAAGCCCCTAGGTTCTGCAGGAAAGCCTATTTCTGCAGCGCACCTTTACAGAAGTTTAGTCCAAATTTGATGCCATTTACGGTTGAACATGGTATTGTAGGGACCCAACAACCTATTCTACTGTATGTTGGTTCGATCGCCTCTGACGCCACATACAACTTTGCCAAAACGGTCAAGAAGAAGTGATATAAATTAAATTAGACAGAACTCCTAACGACTATGCCAGATTTTATTGCCTTTTCTTCTTGATAAGTTGTTCTCCGAAGCCTTGTAACCTTCGGAGTGGAAAGAGTTACTCTGCGATGCTTCCCGCAATAGCGGGTGATCAGGAAAATCTCTCTGCAGGCTACAATGAAATGCACGAGATCGTGATGCACTCATTAGCTTTCACAAATGTAAGATAATTTCCGTTTTTTCTGTCAATCGTGAACTGTTAAGATCCAATATTAGCCGAGTCTTGTTTGTCAGAAATTTGCAAAAGAATAACCCAAATGGCAATGATTCACTCAAAGGAGATCCTACTAGACAAAGATAACCACAAATAACTCAGGAGCACGTACATGTCGACAAGTATTGACTTGATTGGGCTTCCGTCAAGTGAAATGAAGTGCTTGATGCATGCATACTCCGCCTTCCGTCGCCCATATTCAAGGCCAAAAGCAGATGCCACTGTCATCGTAAAAAACACGTTCAAACAAATTCAAGCTCAAAAACAATGATCTCTAATACTCATACAATATGAGAAGCCTGAACATTGCCAAGTCCATGACTGAGTATCGTAAATGATTGTTGTTTCATTGCATAACACATGGACAAACCGGTTAGCTTCATTTCTGCTACAACAAAGAAATAGTGCTGGAGCAGTACCTGCAATACTAAACGCGCGTGTCAAGACTTGCAGGCGGTAAGAGACTGCATCAATGCGGGAAAACCTGTCCCATCAGATTTTTCGTCTCTAAATTGCAACTGATGGTAATTAGTATGTTCATTGCTTATAAGGAAACTATAAGCAGGAGACAAAGCCCTACAGTCTTCAGTGCCGTCCAGAAGAAACTTCTGAGTGCAAGAACTCGCTCCAATCAAGTGAATCTTGAAAAGAGGAAGGGATAAGCAACTGACCACTCCCCGCGATAACTCCAAAGAAGAGAGGGTATTTCAATGAGCTCGCCAAAACCTCGTTCTTACACTTGGACACAGCCTCTAGCTCTTCTTTCGTTGGCGCATACTGCAACCACGTACAGTCCCATTCCATGACAGGAATAAGAGATGTACTCAACCAACAATGACACTATCCACAAAACCTTTACCAAAATTTACACTTCAGTTTAAACAACCGACTGAGCTCAAATGTCCGTGAGACTAGGTAGACATCCCAACTCTATTCATCAAAATTAAGACATTATGAACTTGGTGTATCTTCATGGAACGAAGTAGAATTGGAGAATCTAAAGATACCTCTTCTTGAATGAATGGTCTAATTGTATCAGGACAGTGCTGCAGTGTACTCTTTCCTAAGTTACGTTCAAGTTATGCGCAATGGTCAGATGACCAAACCTCGAACGTTACACAATGTTCATCAATAAATAAACAAGTAACCTCTTACTCGCCACAAAACCCTAATTACCACTTTCAATGCATTCGATCAGTTTTAAAAATTCAGCGTCAATATCGTTTCTCCCAAGCTCTAACAAATCAATCCATCAGAGTCCTTGATCATAGCATACAGAATCGAGCCAATCGGCAGAGCACTGAATGCTGTACAACGGTCTGTCCAACAAGTCAGATTCATGGAGCTACATCTCTCTTGCCCACCTCTTCGTTCCGGAACTTGACGGAGAGCCTCTCCGCGAGCTCAGCAAGTGGCGAAACGCGCTTGTTCCTCCTCCGCACGTCGCCTTCCTCCTGCTGCATCGTTCGAGCAAACATGGCGTGACGGAGAGGTGATTGGATTCGTGGATTCTCTTCCCAAGATCATGCGCCAGCGGAGTTTCGACACAATCGGTTGCCACACTGGAGCATTCTCTCGCAAAACCCTAACTCGTGGCATTGGAGTGCGCCAGAGCACAGTGTGAACCTGACACGAATGCTGTTGACGTGTCCATCACTGAGACAACGCTCGTCAGTTCACTATCACTTTTAAAGTCCAGGCTAAAAAAGCACGTTCAGACGCAAAAGGTTTCAGGAGAAGGTTACGCCATCCAAAGATCCACGGTGATAATATGTGTTTAAGTGGGAATTACCACAATACTAGCTTGACATCTTTCTTGTGAAGGGAAATTAAAACATGCAAGTGAGTGAAAATGAAAGGTTGCATTCTTTTTTAAATGAAAAAAATAGAAGAAGTCTTAAGTCAATTAAGTAGTCTCAATCTTTTTCTTTGCTATGTTGTATGGCTTATTGCATATTTGTAGATTGTTTCCATGTGTGTCATTTTTTTCATTTTTTAATTTTTAATTTTTAATTTTTTAATTTTTTATATTATTTGTTGGTGATAATATTGAAGAAAAGAGAGATATAAGAATGTTAAGGGCCACTCTTGTAACAATTAGCAAAGTTATCATATGTAGAGGTATTCCTTCTATTATCTCATGTTATATTGTTTCTTTTACAATTATTATTTCCATTCATAATTTCTTTACATTTCATCTTTTTTCTTCATTGAATCTTAAATAAATAAAAATCAAAATTTAACATACAACTTCACTTAAATATTAGTTTGGATAAGACCAAAGTCTTATAACTTACAAAATAAGATTCTAAATTATAATTCTTTATTCTTGTAAAATAGGAATAGAATAAAAAATTGATATACTTTAAAAATCACTTGTGTTTTAAAATATTAATAAAACTATATATATACATATATATATATAAACTCACAAAATAAATCAACTTGATAAACCAAAGGAGACAAAAACCATCTATGATTGGTTGCATATCTCATTGTTTTTATCAAAAGTGAAGCAACAACTAAACTTGGAAAGAGTAGCATTGCAAGATCACTAGGTATGGAGCTCAGAAGCACCACAACATAAAATAGCTTGCAATAAGGAATTTCACATTATATGAAATTTATATGGATTTTTACGTCATATTAATTTACAACACATAGTTTATAACATCATTTTTGTGGCCAACAACATGAATTTCTACTATTATATATACATATATATATATATATATATATATATATATAAATTTAATTAAAAATATTTTTTATACATTTTAATATAGTTGAAAATATAATTTTATATTTAATCATATTTTTACTATTCTACAAATGATAATATAATATTGTATTATACATGGTTTGTACATTTTTGTCTTTAAAAAGCAAATTTTGTGTCAAACATTGTTAAAAGTAAAATCTATCACAATTGAAAATAAAAATTCTTACATTTATTTTGAAGTTGTTTGGTGTGATATTTTATTGAAGTGTTTTAGATGAACTTATTTTTAAGTACATATTTAAGAATATTTAGAAGAAAAAAATTGTGTGTGTATTATAAAAATAGTAAATTTATTTTATCTGAATCCTAATTATTAGTATCCAAATGTTTGTAATAAAAAAAGAACAGTTGGAATTTCTTGATTGATGATTTTTAATTATCAAACATTCTTTGAGAATGAACACTTGGCTATTAAAAAGTACACAATTTAAAATCAAATTCTACTTATTTGACTTTCATTTAGCAATAATTAGTAGTACATGTGAAAGTCTTTGCACATGTTTATGTTTTCTGTTAAACAAATCACAATCATACATTTGATTAAAGTTTTTGTTAAATGTTAAAAGTCTACTTAATCCAGTGGAATTTCAGAATAGTCAACAAAAAGAATGATTTTTTGTCTTATCATTTACATGCAATAAAAGGATTTTCAAAACAAAATCAAATCAAGTTCATGGAAGTGTTACATGATACAAGTTGTTCTTTTATGAAAAAGTTTTTTGTGAATTAATTAAAAAAAAAATCGTTAATTTTTATTGATTATAAACCATTTTATCTAAACAAAAAAATTATCTCATATTGCCAAATATTTTGACATCATCAATGCAACAAACACAAGCACTCGTTACCTTTCAACTATATATTCTTTATTTAAGGAAAAAAAAGAAAAGAAAAAAAAGAAGATGTTCTGCTAACATTTACTTATCATCACTCAATAACTATATTTTATCAACAAATTAACCTAACAATAAGTGCCTTAATTATCATCAAATGCCATAATTTGTTTTTTTAAGTAATGATAATAAATAAAGAAGGCAATTACACATCTTTGTTCCAAATTTCACTATAAGTTAATTTCAATGCAATTAAGAACACAACAAGAGTTAAATTAATAAAAAGTGGTAAATGATTATTAATATATTAGTAGGAGTCCAAATGGAAGGACATCGTGGATAGTTCTAGAAGACTTTGTTGGGAGGGGGCGGGGCTCATTTTATCTCCATCACAGCCACTCCTCTTTCCAATTGGTCGCCGTAATCCTAGTCATCGGCATCCCTCCCGTCTACCGGTTTCTCCCTTCGTCCACTACCGAGGAGCGCCGTTCAGTGGTCGGAGGAATCATAGGGACTCGCCTTATCCGCACCATGCTGGCCATTGGTTTGCTCCGTAATCAATCTCCATCATCAATCTTCACGATCGCCGATTTTGAAACTGTGCTGGCTCGATTGCTGGGTTTGCCTTAATCGTGCATCTCGCGAATTGGGTCTCGGTTGGTTGTTTCACGTGTTAACCAGAACCGCATTGCACGAATGTCTTAGAGCTTCTGAGGCTGTGGGATGAGTTTTTGAGAGTTTGCTAGGCGTGCTCTGTTGAGTCAAGAAGCAGAGAGAGCGAGAGAGACATCGAGAGTGAGAGGTTTTCGTTGAAGTGTGGTGTGGGAGAGAGGTAGCAATGACAGCAGCTATGGTGTCTGGGGCGGTAGCTGCTGCGTCGTCCTCTCAGCTTCTAGGGGGCTGCTCTCAGGAAGGGGGACGAGTTGCGCAGGAGATTTCGCAGATGGCGAGGTTTGGTAGTCAGAGTAGAGGCTTTCAGGCGGTGGCTATGAGGAGAGGAACTGATACCCGGCATGCCTCTAGTCCGGCATTGGTACGAAGCTTGACTTGTTCTGAATGGCATAGATTAGTATCCCTGAAGTGCATGTTCTGTTTTCTGGAAACTCTTTCTCTTATTCTGTGGTAGCATTAACTAGGTTGAGTTGTCTCGTCACTTAGACATGAGTTTAGCAGTTTTTGTCTGTTTCTTTGTTTGTTCATCTAGAGGGCTCATTTTTACAGTATCCCTGTTTAAGCTGGTGAATGTGTCTGTTACCGTTTCAAGCAAAGCTGGCTGCCAGATAATAGTTTTGTATGGTTTAGGGCGACATATTAGACGTGTGGGATGTGTACTTATTGAATTGTGGATAAATTTAAGTGGTATGTGGGGAAGCTGATGAGGATCCAAATTTTTACAACAGGTTCATGTCGTGCGAGCGAACTTGGCGCAGCAAATGAAAAGGATGCAGGCGGCTGAGAGGCGATGGGAATCTCAGGCAAGTGACTCCTTCTCAGCGTCAATGTGCAAATCACTGTTGTATCAAGTTTGGTTAATCAGGCTGAGGATTACCTGACCGAGCGAGACGTAGCCGCTCTTCTAGTGCCCAATTATGTATGACTAATAAATTGTGAATTAATTGAACCAATACAGGTGAAAGACGGAAGAGTGAAATCAATGTCTCCGAAAGAAGCAGGTTTTGCCGTTAAAAGTGGTGAATACACCTTCCTGGATGTCCGCCCTTCAAATGAGCGTGCGAAGGTATTATTCGTGTTCTCAGATTGTTTAGGTCTTAACGTTAGCATGAGTGTTGTGTTCCAAATTTGAGGATCATGAGAGCATCTTCTTTCTGACGCAGTAAGAACACTTTCCGAGATAGTATGTAGGTACAGTATTGACACCAGGCTTTCCCATTCATTCCTACCCATGTGAGCTATCCGTGTTCTTGCAATCCTTCATAATTCTTTGATCTTCACCTATTGTATTGGAACAGCTACTGTATTAAGACTCCTTATCTTGATGTTTGGCCTCCACAATTTCCCTCCCTGCAGGCCTCAGTGAAAAACTCAACTTGGATTCCTATGTATGACGTGAACAAGCATGGTGATCCTGGAACTCTATACAAGAAAGTTCAGAACTTAGCAATGGGTATGTGACAAATGCACCTTTTTCTGAAACGTGCTTTGTTTAGAATGCAGGCGTACTGGTTGCGGATGATCCAGCTATCTTAAGTTTTCTTCTTTCACATAGATGACTGTAAGGGGCTCAGAGATATCATTAATTGACGACAGAGATTGGTGTTTCTTCAGGGGGTTGGTGGAGTGGGCAAGCATTGATGAAGTACAACGAGTAGGTTTTCTGCTGAACTGTCTTTGTCCTCTCGATGGTTCTTCAAGTATTCTCCTGGATATTGTTTGAATTCGCGTTTTTGTATTGTGCTCTACACCAATCTTCACAGTACTTTCAATTCTTTGAGGACATGTATACTTTCTACTTACGTTACACATATTGTTTAATGCTGGGGTTCTGCAGACGATTCATGCCTGATGTTGTTGCGACGATACCAAAGAGTGCGAAAGTCGTTGTTGCTTGTCAGAAAGGTCTTCGGTAAGTTCTGATCGTGTGATACGTTACTTGTGTTCATAATTATTATGAACGCTAAGTTGTGATGTCCAAGCCCTGCGTGACACATGGGTGCCACTGAAAACGAGTAACTAGTCATTTCAACGTGTGGAGGTTCTAATACAAACATAAATTCCAGGTCATTGGCAGCCTGTGAACAAATGTACAAAGTGGGGTATAGGAATTTATACTGGCTGAATGGAGGCCTTGATGCTGTTGATGAAGGGGTACGTCCTACATCCAATCTTCATCTATTCTTCTTGTTACAGTCTAACACCATTTTTTCAGAGTGTCTAGTGTCCACTCCGTAGATTTCTATCAATATCTGCGTTTTATCAATTCCAAATATATGGGACGAAATTTCACTAAGCCAAAGTTCCCGCGCACAACTATTCGATGTAGATGCTAGTATTTGGGTCGAGTTACCTCTTCTTGTTAACATTGTTTTTGTTTGTTGCCATCAGGACCTTGAGAGAGAAGGTCCGCAACCTTTCAAACTTGCAGGCATCGGAGGGATGTCAGAGTTTCTTGGGTACGAATTTGATGTATTTCTGTCCTTGCGTTGAATACATGCAGTTTTATTTTTTATTTATTTATTTATTTTTATTTTGAACTACTTAACTGTCGTCTTGTTTTTGCGTGCGTTACCGGCATAGAAATTACGTTCCATCAATGTGTGACGTCAAGGTTCTTTTTGTTATCGTTCTCTTCTCTCCAACAGAAGAACCTCTAGGTCTGTGTTGATTAGCTGTGAAAAGACTGGTTTGATCTTTTAGACACTCCTTTATAAAAGATACCACACAGTAACTGTTGAAGATGTTGAAGTTGAGGAATTTGTCGCTTGATTAATGGGTTCTCGTGGGCAGATGGACCGATGTGCAGAGAACTGAGGCTGCTAACCTGGGGTTTGGGTACCGTGCCATGCTGTTCGGCAGAGTGGTTAGTCATATCCGCTCTTGTCCTACATTAATCCAGCTAATTTTTGTTCTGTTGCTCTTGTGACTATCATACAGTTTGTATGACGACAACTATCAATTTAAGCTTTGTTTCGCTTGAAGCATTGATTTCGCTGTCCATAATATAGCTACATATTAGAATTCTAGCATACTCCTACAGGTCATCTTACATGCGTTTATTTGAACCTCATCTGGTTCTCTTGGGTGATGCAGGTCATGCTCATGCTAGCTGTGGACATGTTTTTCTTCGGATCCCAACAGCTTGCTCAATTCTTTGCATACCTTCGGCAGTGAAACCGTCCACTCGACAAGTTTCGTACCAAGATGCATATTCTACCCAATTTGGGTATCAAAGAACAAATTCCAGACGCTGGCCTGAACTGGAGGCCACTCTCCACCACCTTGTACGGTGTGAAAAGCGCGTGGTGTCTTGCTTACTCCTTTTCATCGCCTTCAAAGAGTCCACAGCGACAGGACTTCGCCTGCAGGCTGCTACTCACTGGATTGTGTAGATGCTATTCTTTTTCTTCCATGTTGAGGATGCAGTTAGGAGCTTATAGCCACTGCAAAGTCCTTAATGAGTTTTGCTTGTTGGTCATCACACCGGGAAGGTCATATATGAGAGGTCGGACGTGTAGAACAGGCAAGTGTTATCTCTATCTTTGATCTGTATGTGTAAGACAACACGTTAGATATTGCCATACTCTCAGAATCTAAGCTGATAGTTGCGAACTGCAACAATTCATGGTTACTCCAATACGTTTTGTACCTCCTGTGCTTCCGCAGATGTCGGGAAATGCACTGTAAAGGGTGGGAGTGGGTTCGTACGCTTATATCCCTATTTTGATACTAATTTTGACTTCACTTTCTCTATCTGAAGATGCCTTCCCAGAGTGCATTATTGAGTGAATTTGATTCGCGACACAACTTGTTCCTCGGCATATCGATGCTTCATGTTTTTTTAACCTCTTGCGAAGCATTCTAGCACTTTCTGTTCATGGTACATCACTATTTTAGAATCATCCTCAGTGCATTTCATTGATTTGTACAATATTTGCTACGACCCAAATGGACTGGTTCGATTGATGTTTGACGTGGAGACAGTTGTGAACCTCTTTATGTGCGTGTTGTGTGGGCTAACTACTGGTATCCTTGTGACCTGCCTACCTGTACCACAGCTTCTTGTCTTGTACCGTTTAGGCAGGCAGATACTTAATGAACACTTGCATGGGATAATCAATGAACACTTACTGCAACAATTAATCCTTGATAAATGTAAGCCAAAAGAATTTCACTCATATATCTCATGTGTTCTTAGATACAGCGTTTATTCAGGCCAAAGAAGTTGATAGAAGGTTATAATTTCTTAAAATATAATAATAAAATAGTGACAGTTGGATGAGTCTTTTAACGAAACTGGGTTTACTCATCTTTTTTCCCATCCATCTTGGAAGACAGAAAGGAAGCTTTGGAAATAAGAAAGTGATTTTTGTAACTGAATAGTTAACGCTATTGAGATCTAAGGCACCCATAGCAACAGGTGAGCGCATCTCGGTCGCCACCTCCAGGAAGGACACAACCGAGGCGTGTCCTAAACGACGACGATAATTTCTTCGGTGAGGAGGGAGAACCGGACGCAGTGGTAACGATCGCAACGATTGACAGCCAGATGGACAACCAGCACAACGCGCAAACCAGCCGCCTCTGCATCCGGATCTTTGATGGAATCTCACCAGCGCTCGTCAAAACACGACGAAGTCGACTTCTCTCCAATATCTTGACTCCCACAAGACAGAAACGCCCACCGCTGCTCCTCTGGGGCCACTACCATCATCTCCGATGCGGCCGATCCCCCCCTCCTCCGCATCTTCGACTAAACCTGCCTCTCCGAAGAAACTTCATCGCTGACGTCAGTGTCGTTCGAACTAAAACGCTTGAAAGCCACTTGGTATAATCATGCAACAATTACAAACCTCCAATCGACGACATTCAAACAATCGAATCAGAGGGCGTGAGTTCGAGATTTCGCATGTCAGTGCTAACCATAACGCTGCGATCCGCCGCAGAACAGATGGCGCCGCTCTTGGGCATTGAAGAGAGTGGAAATTTCCACCGTAAATTAAACGACCCAGTTTGTATCTCACGTGAGATTTTGCAAATTTGGAAGCTCTCGGAGCAGCGAAATCCCCCGTCGTGGAGCAAAATCGCAACAAAGCAGACTTCAACGACGGGTCCCTCTTCACCGGTCATAGGACCGCGATATTTTCCATGCGGTTTCTATAACCGTTGTCCTATTCACATGGAGTGCCCAAAGCCAGGGGCGATCTGGGCACTTATCCAGCGTCAGAAAACTGATGGAAAGATGCAATAACTGGCTGGTGAGACTGCAAAGTGTAAGAGAATTTGAATCACTGTGTGTGTGTGTGTGTGTGTGTGTGTCCAATTTGCAAATGTTTGCCATACATTGTACTCCATGCATATTTAAAAATATTCTCTCACCCTGTATCTGGATGTGACCAGACATCCAGACATGCCATTAGGTCTTACCATTGTAAATCTGTGAAGTGTTAGGGTTCCTTGGACCATCCATGCAGTGGGTGGATTTTTTTTATGGGGCCTTAGTTGTGATGGCTATGGCTATGGCTATGGGTCACAACCCCCTTTTACAGTGATGCCACCAGCAAGATGTTCATGGATAGAGAGGGAAGAGGGCATCAATTTCATGTGGTCTTTGTATTTGCATGTAGAGGTGAGGGGGATGTTGATGAGAAGCTACCCCCCTTTTCACTCCATGCATGAGACAAACATTCAGACCCATAAGTCAGTGCAATCTGTATATTTATTTTAGTTCTATTTCTTTTCTTTGGGATGAGGTGGACATGTATGTGTTACTCTTAGAATCATTTGTGAAGGTTATGGCACACAACTGTAGCAGAATTAGATATTAATCCAGCTTTGGATATAAGCACAAAGAGGACTCTGTAACAATCACAGTTATCAAGGCCCATTGTTTCAGCAAACACATTCTTTTGGGATGGCAAAGCCAACCCTAATTCCCAGTTTGATGGGACTCATTCAAGGGCAGGCACAAGCCCCAAGACTAGGGGAAAAAAATGGAGAAGAAGACAAAGAAGAAGGCTGACAAGAAGGCTGGTTAGGGGTTTGAATCAATGCCTGCTAATACTCTGGCACCAAATCAGGTCGTCCTCGAGTATTATTTCCAGAACAGGGGGTGGGGTGGGGTGCTTGTCAATGCTCTGACCACTCTTCTTCTCCTGGGAATGCAAGCCATCCATCCATCCACCCATATGGTCACATTATCATCCATCACGAGTGGACAGATTGTTGTTGACACAGTGGGAGCCTCCACTTGCCAGATTCCACGTGTCTCCATCTCCTGCTCTGATACAGGTGACAGTATGTAAGACAGACAGGCTCACACCACCCACTTTGCTGTATTAGATGTTGCTGCTCCTATGAGGCCATGTGGGGGGGCTGCACTCTCATCAAGCCCACCCCCACCCACTCTCAGCCCCAAGCACATGTGCAATTACACTCCGCAGCCTCCTATCATTCCCATGAAGGAGTCAATTCCTGAGTGAAGGGGGAGGGGCACTCATTGATTTGCCACCACAGTAACTCTTTCATTCCACCCCCCACCCTGGCTGACTGGCTGCTGCATGGCTGGAAGACTGTGCGTGAGAGAGAGCTTTTAGGTCATTTGCAGACAATATCCAACAAAAGATGCATAATGAGGAGGAGTGAGGGTTCAAAGGCCTGGACCCAGCTCAGATCTTGTGAAAATCATGAGCCAGGTGATGGCAACATTATGCAATGGAGGCTACAAAATTACTTTCTGGGAGTAACTACTGTTATTATTATTATTATTATTATTATCATTGGAGTGGTAAATGTCAGCAGAAGTATTGGCAATGGAGGCCTTGATGCTGTGTTTGAGGAAAGTCAAGGCTTCATTTGGGGCCCATGTGTTGTTTTGGTCCCAGTCTTTGGGTTTGACACCTTACCAATGGAGGACCCCCCCCATTTTATTTTATTTTTAATAATTTGATATACTCTTACTCTTAGTTCTTCTACCAATCCATCATTCAGCGGATTATATGTAATGATGGAACTGCTTATTTTTTATGGTCCAAATACCATCAAATTTGGCCTTAGATTGGATACACAATGGTTGAGATTTCATTTGCTTTAGTAAGATTGGGAATGTGGGGGCCAAATTTGTCACTTGATGTACATAAAACTGCTTGTATGCAAATGAAAGCATCATTTTAATGCTATTCAAATTTATGGTGGGCTACTGATAGGAAAAATTAAAAATTAAAAATTAATAGCTTATTTTTATAAAAATCATGTATTGTGTGCTCTGAAAAAAATTCCAGCCCAAAAAATTCCATTTCTAACAACTTTATTGGTTGTTGATGGATATGCACCACAATTATTTGGATGATTTTATAAGTCAAATCCTGGATCCTCACTGTTCAAGGTATTTGAAGGGAGCCCCCACAAAAACTTTGAAGGACGATGTTTTTATTGAATTGTAGATTAGATAGATACAAAATGCAAATAAGAAAATAAAAACAGTTACTCGTATTCCTTTGAAACGTGTCTAAATCTACAAAGGTAACATATAAAAACTCCATTAGATATACGAATATGGTTTATATTTGAAGATTACTAAAGATTGATTTTTTTTAAAATAAATAAATTTGTAGAAATGTCAGGTTAACATTTTATTTTTTACGAATGGTGTAGTAATATTCAAAATAATACTAATCTACAAGAGTGGATAGAGAAATCTATACATGTTTTCTATTTTAAAAGTAAAAAGACACAATTCAAGCATGGGTCATACAAAACCGTACAATTTATTAATTTTTAAATGACTTTTTGAGAAATTTCCACAATTGATTCATTTTGATGTACACTTGGTATGGTCTCTTAAAATTGATGGTATTTGATGAATGCTGATTGATATAAATGTAAGAATAACAAATTAATGAAATTACATAATTACTATCTTGATTTTCCTGTTGCGAAATTCAGGAGTAAATGCGTATAAGAAGGAATGAAGACGATCACAATCCATTGTTACTACACTTATTTAGTTTTTTATTTTTCTAAGTAAAAATAATTACACATGCGCTTTCTTCTTTATTTTTTAGAAGCAAGACAGATCACCATCCCTCATTGTGGAAAATGGATTTACAAGCAAATATTGGAACACATCACACAATGTTGTTAAAGATTAAAAACTTTGACCAGTAATTTCTCATTGTAGTCAATTGAATAAATTTTCCTCCAGATCCCATCCAATTATTGTTTATTTTCTCTTTTTATCACCTCCCCTTCTTTACTCTCTCTCTCTCTCTTTATACATATATATATATATATATATATATGTACATATATATATATATATATGTATTATATACGTATCTGTTTATGGTAATAGAAAGTGATTTTCAGTTACAAAACACTTAAGATGAAATTGACTTCAAACCCTAACCGTGGTGATTTGATGAATCGTCTTGTCATCAACAAATCACAATATATATATATATATATATATATATAGAAAAGGTAAAAAAGCATAGTAGGTAAAGATTGGATTTTAATATTGAGAATGAGGCTAATTCAAGAAGTACAAGAAGAAAGGATAGGAAAACAACGGAGAAGGGGATGACAAGGGTTTTTAGTTTTCCTACAGTGAATTGTTTGTGTGTAAAAACTATATTACTACTATTCAAAATATTTGTTTGGTAAAAGGAATTTTATGCAATCTTAGGAAGATACCACACAGTGCAAACCAAGGGAAATAAAATAAACATAATCGTATGGCAGTATTATGCAACAATAGAAGTTAGAAGATTGTCTCTTCTTTGTATACCTGAATAATTTTTAATAAGATGAAACACAGAACCAATATAATTAATTATTCGATGGACATGTGATTCACTTAGGAAGAGGGTTTGATTTAACCCAGAATTGAATGAGAGTAACAGCTTAAAAACTAACAAATAAATGTAGATACTGTATCATGTTATTGAGTTTTTTGAAAAGACAAAAAGTAAAAAGAAAAAATCTGTGTGATTGATAAAGGTGTTTGTGATATTTATTTTATATTCATATAAATGTGTTATCATCTTGTCTAAGAATTAAACAATGTGCATTGCATGTATTGTGAATTGAAAGAATTTGGAACATCATAAACGGTTAAATTCACACAAATCTATAATTGAAAATTATTCTGTGTGCAGTTTGAGGAATAACAATAAGGATAGCAATAAAGTATATCAAACAGAATATCTCCTTTTTTTTCAAACTAAAACACAGTGTAAGAGTTCAATACATTTTAGCTGAAATCTGGAAATTAACCAACTCACAACACTAACGAATTAACTTATTGTGGGAAAATATAAATGTTCAGAGTTGAACCCGCCAACATATAGCGCCGTGTGAACAGGGGCAAAATTAAACCCATAATGAGGTCATTTGGGGAGTGACTAGTAAAAAGTTGAATGAATGAGGACGAATGAAAAATACTTATAACGACTGGATCCGAGCATTCATCCGCGGTGTAGCAGGGCAGTGGCGCAGAAGTGAGGAATATCGGGAGGTCACCACGTGGCTGAGCTTCTTTTACTCTTTATCTCTTTCTATCTCCACCCACTGAGTGTGGGCGGTAATGGGGACCACCTCGGGTTTTGTGCTGATGTGGCTAAATCACGTAGTCTACGTGGCTAATGCATAATTAGAGCAAATGATGGTGTTAATTTTGGAAATCACTCTAAATATGGTGTTAGTTATCTGTTCATGTCCATTCTCGAAGTTAATAGCCAATAGCATATCCTGATGATGATGGATTATTTGTCTGTTTTGCAAGGGGGTATAAAGTGAGAGGAATATTCTTGGTTTAATAATAATACTGATAAATCCTCTCAGTTCAGTATAAAAAAGGTAAGAATAAATAATTTGCAAACCTGTCTCTCAACAAAATAATAGAAATATTGATTTTCACTTTCGAGCAAACAAGGTTCATGGTTTCTGAAAAAGATTAAAATTAAATGTATGAATGGTGATGTTTATTTATTTTATTTGATTTTATTGTTGAATATAATGGAGTACATACAGTGAAAATTCCCTTCAAATTTATTACATTGAGATTTTAAAGTTAAATTGCATACTACATTCAAATTGGGATTTGCAATTATTATCCTATCTACAACAATACTAACAGTGTGTTATGTTTATTTATTATATGTATATATATATATATATATATATATGTTTTTTTATAGAATCCAAGTGTATCAGGAGAGTATTTCTATACCGAATTATTAATAATCCTTTGTAAATAATTGTCTTATTTTGAGGCTCTTTTATCTTTGGAATATTTATCATTTTTAATACATTGGCAAAAAATTTAATTACTGAGAAATTTTTATACAAAGAGTGTTTAAATTATACTTAGTGCAACCATAAGATCATTGCTATTTTTATAAATGGAAAAAATCAGTAAATTCACATTACAATTTTGTTTAAACTTAGAGAGCTTTTAAAATAAATATTATTAATTTATACTGATCTAGCAAGGTATATATACATATATATATATATATATTGGATAAACATGCTTAGCTTTACTTTTAAATTCTCTTTTCTTGCCAATCTTTAATCACTACTTTCATGCAAACAACTGCAAGGCATGAACAAGAGCATTTCTTACTTTTTTTTAATTATGTATTTATTATCATTGTTATTAATTGGTGACTTTTTTTTTGTATTATCTTTTGACAACTAATTTTTTTTTTGTAATAACCTATTTCTTGGATGCTACCAACTTGATACTTGGATATTTACCATAGAAAAAGTATAATTTTATTTTGGTAATAAAGACAATCTATTATTGGTAATGTAAATACTTTAAATTACCTTAACATGACATGATTTAAAATGATGATTCTAAAAATAGAATATATTTTATGCCATGTCCTTACTACATTAAATCCAGTTCTTTTGCCTCACAATTTTAAAGCTTTTATGGTAGAAATAATTCAACACATTTTGTTGATTCCTATTCTTTTAATTTCGTCTAGATACATAAATATATGATTATATTATATATATATATATATATATATATATATATATGCTTTTGATTATTTTCTTGCTAAATGTTACAACTTAACACTAAAAATAAACAGTATTTTCAAAATGTTTTTATCTATATTTTCAATTATTTTGTTGATGAAAAATATTTAGATTTCATTTTAAAAATATATAAATATTATTGACCATTATTTTATAAAAAATTCTCTACATTTTCTTTTATTAGTTTTATAGTACTTAAAATTTTTATTTTTCAAAAACTTGGTCATTGTACAATGCATGGTCTTGCTTTTGTTACAATATAAATTTGCATGTTCACATCTAGCAATTAATATTTTCTTGATATTATAAATATATATATTCTTGATAAAAATTTGGATGTATGTTTCACAAAGATGATAAATACTTATTTATCCTTAATTTTATGAATTAAGAAGTTGATAATATAACTATATATTAAATAAATTAGAATTAAAGTTATATTTCTTGTAATATCTTAAATTGAAAATGAATAGTAATATTAATACATTAATATAATATTAGTGTATTTAAATAGTTGTTGATGCCTTGTATATATAGTATAATAAGAATATTATTAATCATATTGCTTGACATTTAAAAATACAGAATAATAAAACGGTGATAGTGAAATACTTTAAATATAAACATCTTGATAATAAAAAATTGGAACTATTTGTTTAATCATTTAAATTAATAGTTTGTAGAACATCATTTCTTGATTGTAGTTGGATAATACATAGTTCAATTTTTTTATTTTTTTATTTCTTTATTTTAAGGATGTGATTAACTGTAAAGAGCATAATCTGACTCAAATAAATAATCTTATATAGTTTAATAAAAATAAAATTCTGTAGAACCAAATTTTAAATAAAGTACACCATGCTACTAGAATAATTATGATTAATTTTTTTAAAATAATAAAATATTGGTTTCTATGTTCAATAAATGTATTTGTACAGAAGTATAGATATTAATGTTGTTGCGATAGTTCTTGTTTCAATTTCCTATTACAATTTTTTTTGAAGATAATAAAATAAAATCAGGTACCAAATATATGTATATATATATATATATATATATATATATAGTTTAATATAAAGTAAATAGTCAAATTGAGACTATTGATTAAATATAACCCATTCAATTCTTTTATATCGTTTAATAAATAGTAATCTTTCTGCATATTACAATAATATGATTTTAACTGTCTTATGTATAATTCCATGAACTATGGTTTTACAGATTGAAAAAAATATATATATTCAAATTACATAATATAAGCATTCTTACAATAATTAATTTAAATTTAAATTTAGTTATAATTTTACTGACAAAAAACAAAAGTATGATTTGATAAATACCAACAATGAAATCTAATGACAAATACTTTATTTATTATAGAAAAGGAGAATGATTCTGCATCATTTAGTTTCATCATTTAAGATATTTTGAACACTATCATTCTTTGTTATATACATATTTCTGAATAAAAATGTAAATTTTAAGATTGAATCAATTTTTAAAATCATAATTTCAAAGTAAAAGTGGAAATTACCAAATTTTCAAATCATATCCTTGATATTATTGAAATTCAAATAATTTACATGATAGTTAATATAACTTTACACAATAATGGATTAAGTGTGTATAATTTTATATAAAAAATAATTGCCTAATATTTGCAAAAAGTAATAATCAGTGTATCAGAACAATTAGTCAATACTTTGATCATTATTAAATAACCGTGCAAGTTTTGCAAAGTAATACAGACAATGTAGTGCACTTGTGAAGTTCAAAAGTTCAGAAACATCATGAATATGAAGTTTTTCTCATTACAAACAGACAAGGACCACAGGACACAACACTGCAATGCATGCTTTGCAGAAAGGGAACCACCCATTTCCACACTTCTGCTCAATTGTACTCATGTCTCACATTTTCAAGAGAAACTCTGCTCTCTACATTTAATACCAAAATCCATACGAAACAAAGAAGCATGCATCATTCCAGGTGGGGTGCTGTACTTTGCTATGAGGTTCGAAGCAAAATAATTTAGATCCAACATCTAGTCAGCGTGGGGTTGTCGTTGGTTTAGTTATTTTTGTTTCTCGACCAGAATCTCTCTTTCACAGTGTCAAAGGCTCCAATCTAAGCCACAGTTGCAATCACCTGAGGGAAATCTGCACCCTTGCAAAAATAGTGTAAGATTCAACCAGATGGGGGAGGTGAATAAGAACTGGCACTGGAGCTCAGCTGAACGGTGAGAGTTGCAGTGGTTTTTGCCAAGGCCCCACCTCATGTCACCGCAGGAAAAATTGAAGCTTTCTCGTCACGGGAGGCAACGCCATGCCTTGGACACAAGTGGTGGAGATGAGAGTGCTCTAAGGGTGATGTGAGGCAAGTGGGAGAGCAGTTTCGCGTGAATGGCTCGATCCCTTACGGAGCAATGCACCGAGTTAAGCTTTCGTAATGAACAGAAAAATATTTCTGCCTTTCACCACCATCTCTATCTGCCCCGCTAATTCAATGCCCTTGCATGTGGCTCCTCCGCCGTCTTTGTCGTCCCGTCTCTTCTCTTCTCTTCCCTACTCTGCCGCCGCTGCTGCTGCTGCTGAGCGAGTTCCTCCAGAACCCATCATCATGCGTCTTGCCCAAGCTCTCTGTCCTTAACCCTCTGTGTTCACACAACCGCATCCTGCTTCTGTGCCGGTTGGGAGTCTGCGCGTAGCCGCCAGCCTCACGGTTCGGTCTCTCGGGCTGTGATCGTGGAATGGTAACAGTCGGCCGCAGAGATGTGGTTGCTGTGGCTTTAGTTATGGTCGTTGTTGTTGCGACGGGATATGTGAGAACGCAGTTGTAGATTTCCTGTTTCTTCGCATTCTTCTGCTTTCTTTCGAGAGAAATAGAGAGAGACAGAGAGGTCAGTGAAGCTGTTCTCTCTCTCTCTCTCTCTCTATTTCTCTGCCCCCCCCCCCCTCGCGTCTTTTCTTCCGCTTGAGTACTCAAGTTGACCGGTGTAATCTTGTGGGGGACGTTAGATCCTTTGGCACTGGTGCCGGCTTGGCGACCGACGTTGTGCAGGAATGCAGATGCTCTTCCAGTGTTGGTTGCATTCTCTGTTCCTGTGAAGTCCCAGTGTTAGGTGCTGGCTCTCATGAGTGACTCAAAGTAGTGGCTTTTTTCCTTGTTCTCAATCTTTCCTGCCCTGCGTCCTTTCTCTTCTTATTTTGCAATGCTGTCCAGCGAGTTGGAGCTGAGAACTCGCTGCTTGTGTTGCTTGCAGAACCACCGTTCCGCTTCCTATGAAACATCTAATGGGAGCTTGTTATTCAGCGGTTGCAGTCCTTCAGGGCGTTGGCGATAATGCCTCGTAATCTCCAGTGATTACCTCCTCCAGCAATCTGTAATCAAGTTTTCTTTCCCTTCAACGATTATGCATTGTAACTGATCGTAATCAGATACCTCTTTCTCTTCAGATTGTTTCTCAATCACACCCCTAAATTGGTAGTCGACTCGACTTCGTGGCGTTAATTAGTGTCCAGGTACTCGAACTTCTCAGATTTGAAAACTCTTGAAGTGAAAGAGCTACTGGGAACGAACCGATGTAACATCGGTGATCTGTCGTACACCTTCAATCTAAATCCCTTCTGGCTCTGCTTTCTAGTATAGGAGACAACTTTAGCTGTAGGTGTTTCTTTAGCACTGTTGTGTTCGGAAATTGTGGACACAATGGCAGTCGGATCCGGTAATGGGAAGCAGTGGCTATCAGAGCCGCACTTGGGGCAGATGGGGTACACCAAGGTTCGTTTCGTGGTAGCCATGGCATGTGCTTGTGCTCTCGTATATATCTTGTCGTTTGCGGTTATGAGCGCGCGACCATGCTGGAACACTTGTATACCGACCTCCTGCAGTCCGGTTGGTTCCCCTCTAGCTTCAAATAGTCTCTCCCAGCCAGCTGCATCCGTCGAGGAGTCCGATATGGTGCCCAAAAGGCTACACGACCAGGTGTTTCATCCCCAGAAGCAATCCGAGTCTGCCCTGATGGCTGTGGGGGAACCCGAGCAGTTGGCTTTAAACACCCGGGCTGAGACTCACCGAAGAGGCACGGATATCTCCAGGATTGTTTTTGGCATTGCTGCAGCTGCTGATGTGTGGAAGGGCAGAAAGGAGTATATAAAATTGTGGTGGAAGCCTGAAATGAGAGGGTTCGTGTGGCTGGACAAAACTCCAGATGGCGAAGAATGGGACGACAGGTATCCTCCATTTAAAGTTTCCGAAAAAACCACAAATTTCGAGTATACCAATAAGAAAGGGTGGAGGTTCGCGATTCGAATATCACGCATTGTTTCCGAGACTTTCCGGCTTGGCTTGCCGGATGTAGACTGGTTTGTGTTAGGAGATGACGACACGCTGTTCTTCTCAGAAAATCTGGTGCAAGTGCTTTCAAAGTATGATCACAGAAAGATGTACTACATCGGAAGCAACTCGGAGAGTCATCTTCAAAATATTCTGTTTTCCTACAACATGGCCTTCGGCGGAGGCGGGTTTGCTATCAGCCACCCGGCAGCGAAAATTCTATCTAAAATGCAAGACAGTTGCCTCGCAAGGTCCTACTTCTCACCGACTCCTTTAACTTGTGATCGACTGTCTGGGGTGCCCATTCGCTTTGTGCTTGGGGTTGGGGAACTGCGATAGATTTGTTCACTTTTCTGAATGTTCTTTGGAATGACAGGTATCCACATTTATTCGGGAGTGATGATCGAATGCATGCGTGCATGGCGGAACTTGGAGTTCCTCTTACAAAAGAGCCAGGTTTCCATCAGGTTTGTGGTACTCTATTATTATATTCTATTCTGAACATGCGTGCAGAATTCTGGCATTCCCATAAATAATGGGTTAGTGACTTTACAAGAGGAGTTCTGATGGAACTTGTCCCTGAAACATGTAGTTCGACATCCATGGCGATGCTTCTGGAATACTAGCATCTCACCCTGTGGTGCCCCTTGTATCCATCCACCACCTCGACCTCATCGACCCCATCTTCCCCAACACAAAAGATAAGAACTACACTCGCGTTGGTGCATTGAAGCATCTGCTGGAGGCTTCCACTCTCGAGTCCGCGAGCACAATGCAACAGTCAATTTGCTATGACAAAAGCCGGCGGTGGTCCTTCACAGTCTCCTGGGGCTACGTCGTTCAAGTGTACAAAGGCTTCATTACCCCTCGTGAACTCGAGGTTCCACAGAAGACCTTCCTCTCTTGGCACAAGGAGACGAGCAAAGTTGAATTCCCGTTTAACACTCGGTCGAACCCTGACGATGTCTGCAAGAGGCCTACTCGTTTTTTCATGGAGTCTGTCAAAGGTCCAACCGAGTCAGGGTCCAAAAACTCCATGACCGGCTATTTTGTTCGTGAGTTTAGTGAAGAAAAGATGGCTTGCTCTGAGAAGTTGCAGCCCCTGAATGGCGTTCAGCGAATCAAGGTTGTACGAGAGCTAACCGATAGTTCTTGGTATCAGGTACTCTCTTTTTGCTCTATATCCAAGAGCCTTAAATCCCCAAAATCGCCATCTTCTTTCCATAGTTTGAAGCAAAGCATCATGCATTTTTAACAACGGGATGACTCGTGTGCATTTAGCACCTTTCGTTGACGATAGTTGCTTGCTGCTGTGTTCGTAGATCCCAAGGCGATCGTGCTGTCGGGTGAAGAGATGGAAGAATGAGGATATCGACATCCACGTTGGTGGATGCAAGGACGGCGAAACTCTAATCAGCAGCTATTGAGCGATCCACCACCCATCTTTCCGATTCAATCGTCCCCCATTTTTGACGCAAAAACTTCTATAAAAGTTGCTTGCGCAGGCGTAGGTCCAACTTTAGACCAGGTGCAGAGAAAGTCTTACAGAAACATCACTCATGAAGACACACTTGTATTACCACCTTTTGTACAGAGGAGGGTGGCGAATCTCCTACTTGTGACTCCGTCACACTAGTGCATCCAACAGATGCGGTACATTCATAGCTTCAATGCAGTCATGGCAGATTTCCCACAATTACAATTTATCTTAAAACGATCATTTCCTCATAAAAATTGTAAGCCAGGAAATGAGAGCTGAGTTCTGCCATTGAAACCCTAAACCCACATGACAATTCTTAACCCGTCTTCGTGATTGAGTAATGACGCGCTCCGGAATTGGCTGCAATCTCTGCACGTTATTGAATGTGGTATGTAACGACATTGAATGTGCGACAATCCATTCGTGGTGAAGGTCGTTGAGGATGGCGATGTCGTAAAGTGCGGTGTCGCTTCACGAATATTCTGTTCCTAATTCGGAGGAAGATAGGACAATTCAGGTGGGGTGTTGAGGATCTCCTGGCCAGATGAGCAATCCTGAGACTTACTCGAAGGGTCACGGTTGCGAATCTCGACTTATGGCAGATTTTGGAATATAATCCTTGTGTGTAGATCGTTCCTTCACCGAATGGATGGCCGCACTGTCAGCACTGTCAATGAAATCATTCTCTTCCACGTCAGCGTGTGTGTTCGAGTTGTGTGGGAATTCTCTCATGAGCAGGGAACTCGCTTCGTGCAAAATCATGTCATTCCATGGATGATTGAGATCCCAGAATTAGACTCAATTTTACTTCAAGTCCAGTTAGTGAGCTTTGTTGTGCTTGGAATGATTCATGTTCAAAACTTGAGACGATTAAATGCACTGTAAAAGAAAACGCTGGAGTTATGAGTTAGTTCTCCTTCTGTCACTATGATGTGTGAATTTTGACCTAAATTTGGTGGTGGTATTTTGTCTGATTTTGTATCTTGTTCTTTGACTTGATGAAAATGTATTTTGATTAATAATTATTATTTGAATGTTATTATGCATATTTCAAGTAATGATCTACTACAAATTTGGAACTTATTAAAGAAAAGGATACATGTCAGATGAAATGGAATTTTGCATTTTTAAGAATTGGTGTCCATCTTCAAAATTCCCTGATTTGTTGAATCCCGATTGGTTACTTTAGTCAACTCCCTGATATATTGAATTTCAACTCGTATTAGAAGTAGTTGAAATTTTTATTTAGCTATAATTTTTTTGAATATTTGACATATACCGTAAAATAAAAATATTTAATTTTTTTCAACCAATTATGCAACAAAGTTTTACAATATATGATGATAATATGATATTATAGTCTATTCATAATAGAAAATTCTAATAAGGCCATTGCTGTGGCAATAAACATTATTACTACAGTCACAAATGTTATTACTCAAACCATAAACAGACAATGTCTCTTATAGTCATGTCCATTGAAGCAAATTTCAATACCTAGCTACTTCCAAGTATTGATTGCCTGCATAACTCATCTACTTTGGGAGGAAATACTTAATAATCAATTTTTAGTACAAACATTGTTTAACCTCCATTGTTTTACCACCATAACATTGTTTTTAAAATTAATAACTATAAAAATATGAAGTTCTTTTTATTTGTTTCTTCTATTTATTAATCAAAATTTATAATTTTTTTAAAAAAAAATAATACATATAGATAGAAGATCAATATATACATTAGTTTGAATAATTAAATTATAATATTTATTAAAAATATACTAAACTAACTAAAATAATTGCTTCTTAGACTTGCTAAGATTCTTTTTTTATAGATGTTTTCTTAATAAGGGTTTTTAAATCTTTTTAAAATTTAATAAATATTTAAATATTCAATTAGGTTCATTAATATCAATATTTATATATTTTTAATCTAAAAACTTAAAAATTTACTATTAATAATTCTATAAATTAAAATTTATTGATAGAACTCTCTTAAAATTAGAATATTTATAGAAGGGAAAGAGTTTAAAAGGTCCTAGTTAACAATGCTTATTAGAGAATTTTTTTTTATAATTATTAGATAATACTTTGAGTTTTGACAATATCCAATGTATTTGCAAGTACTACAAATCTTTTATTTCTTTTTATTTTGTACTAGTCCTACAAATTCAAATACAAATAAATTATGATAAGATGAAAACTTTACACATTTTAAATTTCTTACTTAAGTTCTTTCTTTTATTCTTCTAAATTTGAACTCTAATAACTTTTGAGATGTATATTGAGACATATGATGTTGTATTACACATTATCTTGCTTAAGCATGTACCAAGCACTTTATTGTGGAAAGTAAATTAGAAATTACAAAAAATAAAGATCTTCACAACTCTATTAGAATCTCAAATAAATTCCAATTAAGTCTTAATAATCTTAATCAAACCTTAATCAATTCTAAAAAAATCTTAAATAAATTCTACAATATTGAAGAATTTATAAATAATTTCTAAAAAAATTCATAAAGAACTTTAAAGTAACCTTAAAAAGTCATGATTAAAGCTTAAATAAATAGTTAAAAAATCCTAAAAGAAAACATAAAGAAACCCTGCAATGATATTAAAAAAATCAAAAATAAAAAAACACTTAGTTAAACTTACGTAAATCCTAACAAAATTCTAATGAAATACTAAAGAAATTTAAATTAAATTTTAATTAAATCCTAATCAAAACCTAAATAAATATGAACAAAATTGTGATAGCAATCTTAAAATCTTAATAACTATTAATTAAAATATTTATTTTAATTAAAAAATATTACACATTTTAATCTTTAAGCAAACAATAAGTATACAAACTTTGAAAAAAAATTAAACTTATCAATTGACAAAAATAGCTCCCAATTTGCTTACGAGATTGCCATCTTTCTTATCCGACCTTAATATTGATCTTTTAGTAGTAATAACTTCTTATTAATTTGTCACTTACTCTCTAAATTGATGTTTTTTTTTAAAAAAAATTAAAATATCTAAGATTCTAAATTAATCAAATTTCAATAATTTTAAATCTAATTGTTCTAATGATTTTAAATTTACAAAATATATTAAAGACAAGCATATTCACAACCCTATAAAAATTTTACTTATTCATCTATTATAATACTTTTTAATTTTTTAAAAATGTAAGCTTCATTTTATTTTTCAAAACTATCAAGGACAAGAATTTAAAGGAAATATATAAAAAAGTGGAATATTTATCAAAGAGAGATGATAAAAAAAGAAGTAAGAAAATATGTTTATTTAAGAATAAATTGGAATGATTATTTTCAAAGATTAAAAAACTAAAGATTCTTGAAATTAGAATAGAAGTACAAAAAGGATTTTTAAGAATAAAGAAGGTTTTACTCTTGACTCCATATATATTATTTAAATTGTGTCTATATGACAACGTTTTATAGGACCTTTGAAATATGTTTAATTACAATACAAGCTTTTTACATGTATGCCACTTGGCTAATTTTGTATCACAAGCCACCAACATCTATTATATGTGGCCAACTTATGGGCCAAAGTTTTTAATCTACGAATCAACTACAAATATGTCTAAAGAAAATTTTTCATTTATGAAGCTTCTAAAAAACTTTATTACAAAATATTAACAAATCCACCTTCATTTGTCTTCTATCTAGTACTTTTTATTTAGATAGAAATATATGTTTGTAATATTAAACCCCTCTTCTAAGAATAAGTTCCAAAAAGAATATAATCATATGTTGAAGAAATCCTAGATGCAATAAATTGTGTTTGCCACATACTTTGATTTGATTTTTAAAAAATATAATTGATAGGTCTTTCCAATCATTGATAATGTTATATACCAAGGTATAAAGATCATGATGATATTTGATCATTATTGAGGCCTTCATAATTTCTTTCAAACCAAAAATTTGAAACTTCATAAAAGGTGGTTATTTCCTCTAATAATATCATCAAACATCAGGAGTCTTTTCCAAGTTTGTGATAAAAAACACGTTGAAACTTGCCATGAATTCAAGAAAAAAACATGTCAATCTTGAAAGTCTTTTTTTATTATATTTTTAATTTTTGAAAGATTAAAATTATTAAAATTTGAATAATAAATATAATTAGTAAAAAAGATATTTAATAAAAAAGAATATATTTTATTTTTATATTTATTTTTGCTAATAAATAAAATATTTTCCAATGACTTTGATGGTAGTTAATGAAATATTTTAGGTATTTTTCTAAAACATAATTCATTCATTTTATTTGTCTATCAATTTGAAGAAAAAAAATAAAAGATAATTTTATATCAACTTTTAATATCTTAAAAAAATGTTCCAAAACCTTGATGCAAATTGAGTTCTTTTATTGGATATAATATCCTTTAACAATCGATAATAGTGATAAATGATTCTTCATTTGTAATAAATTTTGTATATCATATAAAATATGCTATCTTAGTAACACAATATACTATCACAAATATAGAATCATATGAACTTAAAATTGGAAGGTTCATAATAAAATCTATAGAAATAAAAGACTATGGTTTTTTTTCTTAAAATATAAATAGTAATTGAAAAAGACTATAAAGTTAATAATGAAGAGTTTTTAATCTTGAAGAAATTTTACATGATTGTACAATTTCTTTAATTGCTTACCATATTTGAAGCCACTAAAAATCTCTTGATTCTAATTCCAAAATCTTGTTGTATCTAAAATATATTGTAATTAGAAAGTTATGACAAACTTAGAGAGTATATAATTGTTCTTTACTTTTTAGAATATATGAATGTTCTTCAAAATACAATAATTTTTTTATATATTCAAAATTGGAAGTATCTTGAGATTTAAAATAAATATTTTTAATATCACAAACAAGTAGATTAAAAGACATTTTTGACTAAACTTGCTTAAAAACAGTTGAATCAATATTTAGTATTAATTTTATTGCTTAATGATGAAATTTTTTTTGCCTTCAAAAAATTATTTGTTGTTGATTAAAAGCTACATCTTTTTCTTTTGGCAAAAGATAAGAACATCTAAAAATGACATTTGACATACTTTGTAATGTTTTAAATTTATATATAATCTTAAATTTGAATCTTGACAAAAACATGCTTTATTAGATTTAGCAATGATTTAGAACACATATTGACATCTAATATTTAAGGTTCTTGTGATTTGTGTAAAAAAT